GTGTATTGGTGAGTCTCAGTGTCCTTGATATATATAGTGTTTGATCTAAATGTTAAGCAGTGTCTTGTTGTGTTAGTCTTGTGGTAGGAGGTATTCATGGGGGATCTTCCCTCTTTTTTTCCTTTCATTTTCAAATGCTCCAGGAGCTCCCAGAAGCTTCTCACCCCTATACACTTTGAAGCATTTAAATTGTATTTGCTGGATATGTTTGTGCACAAAGCAATGCTCCATGCCCTCCTGGGAGTGCCCTGGAGTACCTAGCCAACTCCGGAGGAAATGGGCTGTTCCTGGACTGGCCAATCTGTCAGGGGACGACTCCCTGCTCCCCATGACCCTCCCCTATGGTCCACAGCCTGACCTATGAACAGCCCTATCCAGGGCAACAACTACTGTGGGTAAGGAGATGAGAAGGAAGCTAACTTCTCATCTTCCCACAGTGGCCACAATATCAGCAAAACTTCTGGGGATACCCAGAAGTCACATGAAGGGGTAGGAACCGGGTCCGGAGCATGTGGCGTGCGGAGCATGCGCACGTGTGGGAAGCGCGGCAGGTGGAAGCGGGTCCGGACGCGGGTCCGGGTCCGGGCTAGTCAGGGTGTGTGCCCTGACATCACCCTCCCTCTAAGCCACTTCGCCCCGAAGTGGCCCTAGTCCCCAGGTAACCCATCCCTCAAGTGGTTAGAACAAAACAAAAAAGCGGAGGCAGGAGCGGGAGCGGGGGATAATGTAAGGGTGGGAGTATAAAACTATTCTAAGTTAAAAAAAGCGGCGAAAAAAATTAAAGTGGTCATCCATCGCCACATATGTGGCGCTCCCCTAAGACTTGCCCGAAAAAATTTGGGTCCTCCAGCACCCTCCATTGTCTGCTCGCGACTCGGCGACCTCCAGCCTGCATCCCTCATCCCATGATGCCCCAGCTGCAGTCGTGTCATCCCCGTGATCGCATCCGGCCTCGGGGCTGCGCCCGCTTCGGGTATGGAGGGTGGTCGTGCAGCACTTGACCTCTGGGCCATCGTCTGCGTGCCTGCACTCTGACCTCTGGGCTGCACTTCTCCGGGTATGCGGGGTCGGGGGTGTGGTAGCGCCGAGGTAGCGGCAATAGTGGGAGAGTCCCAGGGGATCCAGCAGGGTCTACACCCTGCTCCCCACCCTCCCTCTAATGCCACTTCGCCCCGAAGTGGCTAAACCTCAAAAAAACCCCCCCTCCCCCCTCCTCTGCACATGGTGGTCCGTTGCCTGGGACTCTGGGCTCCTCTTCAGGGGTGGATGGGGAAAGTGTGGAAAGGGAAAAAAAATTTTCGGGGTGGGTAGCGGGTATGCGGTAAAGATAGTCGGGCCCGGGACCGGGCGGTGCGGGGTTCGCATGTGAAAAACAACTCTCCCCCAAGTGCATCTTGCGCACTGGGGAGTCCGGGTGCGTGGACAGTGGGGTTACTTGATGTGGGCTGAGCACCACCCTCCCTCTGTGCCGCATTCCCAAGCAGTCACAGCAGGGGACCTTGGGCTCCTTCGTCAGCTCCTATCCTCCCCCTCTCATGTCCATCCTCCATCGAAATCCTAAGGTTAAACTCTCTCCTGGGTGCCCAGCACCACAGGGAGTCGGGTCTGTGAGCCACAGCGGGTCCGTGATGCGGCTGGGATACACAACCCTCCCTCTATGCCGCATGCCTAAGCGGCCATAGCAGGGATCCTGGGCACCCTCACCAGCGGCATCCATTCCCTCTCGTGCTCATTCTCCGTCGTGAATCCAAAAAGCGGCGCTTGCGCACGCACGCGACTCTCAGTCACAAGTGAAAGCGGGGGTGGGTGGTCTCATCCAGGTTATCTTGGGCGTCTGCAGTTACGAGGCTGGCAGCAGGTGGGTGACCCCGTTTCCAGAGTGCCTTTCGGCCGGTATCTCGGCAGCAGTCGGGCGGCTTTGTCTCCCTAGCGCATTCAGCAAGGTGTCCGGGTAGCGGTGGGATAACATGGGGAACCGGGTTGGTGGTCTCTAGCGGGTCATCATTCTTGCGTCTGCGGTTACGAGGCTGGTAGTGGTGTCAGGGATCAGCAATGACCCTGGACCCTATGCCGGCTGCGCATATGCGCGTGGGAAGTATGCCGGTAATTCCCGTCTACTCCGCTTACCTAAGCCCCGGTGACCCGGATCATCTCCGGCATTGTTCTGGAACATTCTATGATCACGTGATTCTATCGGCAATCTGTTTGGTTTCCCTATTGCCGGACTCTACATGTATATAGCCGACCCTAAGATGGGGACATCCCTTTCCCCCGGCTTTAATCACAACTAGGTTATCGGAGCATCTTGCGCGAGCACGCGCGTCCCTGACAAGTGGGTGGGCGACCCCGTTTCCAGAAGGCCGGTACGTTGGCAACAGTCGGGCGGCTATGTCTCCTTAGCGCGTCAGCGAGGTGTCCAGGTAGCAGTGGGAATGACCCTCAACTCAACCTCACAGATTGGTGTGCAATCTGCAGGACAGTGTTGCAAGGGGCCGGGATAGCGGGGGTGTGGCTGTGTCATGGGTAGTGAACGTGTAATGGTCTGGGGGAAGTGATGATGTGGCATGGCTGCCACTCGAAAATCGCGCGCATGGCCCATGCCCAGCTCCGACTCAGTCCGGGCTCTTGCGGCCCATGTGGGACATCCTAGGTGGGCAGGGGCGATTGTTGAAGCTTCCTTCTGCTGTCAGGGGACGACTCCCGGGTCCCCATGACCCTCCCCTATGGTCCACAGCCTGACCTATGAACAGCCCTATCCAGGGCAACAACTACTGTGGGTAAGGAGATGAATAGATAAAGCAGTAGGTAAGGTACACTTGCCTACTGTGGGTAAGGAGATGAGAAGGAAGCTAACTTCTCATCTTCCCACAGTGGCCACAATATCAGCAAAACTTCCGGGGATACCTGGAAGTCACATGAAGGGGTAGGAACCGGGTCCGGAGCATGCGGCGTGCGGAGCGTGCGCGCGTGCGGGAAGCGCGGCAGGTGGAAGCGGGTCCGGACGCGGGTCCGGGTCCGGGCTAGTCAGGGTGTGTGCCCTGACACAATCTCCTCCTGATTCTCCCAGTGCTCTTGATACTCCGGAGCACTCAGGAGCATAACAATTTTTTGCTGATGTTGACATTCTGAGGATTGAGTCAACCCAGGCCAGCACCCCAACTGGCCTTACAAAGGGTCAAAGGATGACGTAAGTTACACTGGGGCATATAAAAAGCCTGAGAGGTGAGCAAAGACAAAAGCAGGTTAGAACCCTCTACACCGATTAGGTAAGATGGAGCAGCCAATGAAAGAGGTTCAAGACATGGCTTCAGGGTAAACCGAGCCAATCAGATCTCATAAAAGACCGACCATGATTATTTATATGTTAGATATGTTAGATAGTAGTACTATGTAAAACTTTTACAAGAGCAATACAATATGGAAAAGAACATGTAAGCCAAAGTGGCAGATTTTACTAATTCCCGCTACTCTGTAGCGGGTCTTGAAAGCGTGAACTGAATGCCCGTGCAAGAGGTCCTCTATTATTGCAAATTAGCAAATTACCTGGCTAACCCAGGGTCCATCACTTGTATTCCAAAATCAAGCTAAGTTCCCGCATTTGGTTTGTAAGTAGTTGCCCTTTCAACTCCCATCTCCATCTTTCACAGCTGCCACCATCACAATCGAATGCGTTTTGAAAAACCATGCTCTACACCCTCTCAGACTCGTTAACTGCCCTTCAACCTCGCGATAACCAACGGCTATGAACCATAGCTCCAGACAGACACCAGGAAATGAACACAAACCCCCAATCGGGGCAGCCCTGACCCCGATCCCCCTGCTGGCAACAGACGACAGTCGCACCCCCAGAAATGCAAGATGACAACAGGGATGAACAAGTCAAACCTTCCGCAGCCACCTTCTCCCTCGTCCCCCAACCCTCTGGCTGTCAACCTCGATCATAAACATACCGCCATCACATGGTACTCCATCACGAAAGGTGCGTGCCTTATTGAAGGCAGCGTCATTCAATGTCCCTGTACCCAGCGAACTCTGTGGGACTGCTTACAAAATAGCCTGGAGTGTCGCGGACAAGGAAATCACGCCTATTGTCCAAGCAGCCATCCAAGTTGGCTACCACCCTGCTCCATTCCACGACTGCATAAACCTAATGAGGCAGACTACACTCACCCCCGCTCCTACAGACCTATACAGCTCCTAGAGGTCCATCGTTGCTATCCGGCTTTCATACTATGCCAGCCAACACGAACTCCTTCCGGTCACCCAATTCGGAGGAATGAGAGGGAGATCGATCTGCAGAAGACAACACCCTCTCAGCCATCCACGAGATGAAACTTACAGCTACTTCACTCGCTTTTGACATAACAGGTTTCTTTGATCTTGTCTCGCACCCACATCTGCTCAACACTTTGCCCGATAAAAATCCTACAGTCAGATGGGTGGCTTCCTTCCTCAGCGACTGCCACACTGCCCTCATCCCAGCCGCATATTTCTCTGCCCCTCTGATCGTGACATCCTTTGTGTCTGTAATGCTGTATTCCACGTTGACAACGGTGAAAAACCATTTGAGAAACATCCATTTTGCCCCTGAATTGTCTCTGTTGTACGCATCCAAATACATATCTTAGCGAGTGAAAAGAGTGGCGGGTTCTGCCGCGTCAGGCGGCGATCACCAGTTATTATGCTAATTATGGGGGAGGCAAACATGTTCTGCACATGATCGATCGGTCACTGGGCGGCGTAGTTAGGTTTACTGCGCATCTTTGCTCGGACACCGCTAGTCCCTAGAATCCCTAGAATAGACCAACTACCTTCCGAAGCGAGCGGAGCATTATATAGGCGTTGAATAGAAACCCCATAAATTTCCCGGATATGGAGTGGCAGCGAAAACCAAACCCATAAGCGATCGAGAGTCAACGTAAGAATATTAATTATTAATCGCTTTGTTCGGTGGCGACCTAACGACTTCTGACTGTTGCCCCATCACTCCCAGGGATTGGCGGAGATTTAAGCATCCTGGTAAAGTTTCAGTTTCACTAACGGGGGAACTGACGATAGTTTGCTAATCGTTTGCATCTTCGAGACATGTCTGCCACAAACGCAAAACCCATCGGGACAGCAGTGGTCGGCACTGGAATGAGTGCCACCGTTTTCCATATTCCCTTCATCCGATCGTTACCCGAGCATTTTCACCTCATCGCGATCGTTGAACGTAAAGCCACACCTGAATCCTCTATCGCTCGCGATCGATATGGATCACAATTTCCAAATCTGAAAGTGGCGAATACGCTTGAAGAGGTGTTGACTGATGAGGAGGTTGAACTCGTCGTGATATCTACCCCAAATGCTACACATCATCCTTATGCAAAGGTGGGTGCGGATCATGACTCGACTCCTCCATGACTCTGACGGCCAGAATCGCAAACGGTTCTGAATAGGCTGCACTTCGTGCAGGGAAACATGTCATCATTGAAAAGCCTCTAGTCAACGAAAGCTTTCAGGCGACGGAACTCATTCAACTGGCTAAATCCAAATCACTCGTTATCGCAACGTACCAAAATCGCCGATGGGACTCGGATTTCTTGACGCTCAGGCGTCTGCTCGAGTCGGAGAGAGTATTCGGAGAAGTTTCTGAATTTGAGACGAAGTTTGATAGATGGAAGCCGGTTTTGAAGGGGAACGATACTTGGAGGGAGAAAGCTGAATGGGGAAACAGCATCCTTTTCGATCTTGGATCTCATTTGGTCAGTCCCCTCCGTTGTCCTTTTGGCTTCGAAACGGCTAATACAATTTGGGGAAATTTTATATGTGCATTTCAGATTGACCAAGTAATTACACTCTTCGGAACTCCGAGCTCTATCTCAGGCCACGTATGGAATTCCCGAGGGCTTAAAGAAGGACTAGATGATGCTTTCATCGCCCATTTTATTTATCCGCCTTCCTCCTCTAAAGCGTCTTCCTCACACTTCACAAATCCTAACATCCCTCTCCACGTCACCGTCAAGGCTGCTCCTCTTTCCCTTTTGAAGAAGCAATTACGGTTCTCCGTCAAGGGGACGAAAGCATCATGGACAAAATACGGAGTTGACCCCCAAGAAGACCAGCTCAAGTCGAACACCTCAATAACTCCCGACGCCAAGGGGTTCGGCGTCGAAGATGCGGAATTCGAAGGGACGCTAGTCGTCGAAGAAGATGGGAAGATAGTTGAGAAGTCAACTCCCACAGACAGAGGGCACTAGTACGTTCAACCTTGTTGCCGATGATTCATTGTGGCTAGGAGTGACCAAAATACCATTAATCGCAGCTTGTCATGGTTCAAGAATGTCGGAGAGGCGATTCAGGCTAAAGATCCGAGCCTGTTGATCGTAAAGGTACGTAATGCAAATGGAGCATGTACCACTGAACGATTGGGATGCTGACGTGCAGGGCTCGTAGCCGGAGCAAGCACAGGAAGTAATCAGATTGATTGAGCTTATCTATCAAAGCCACGAGGAGGGTAGAGTCATCCAGGTATAAAGGATGCTCGCGGATGATTAAAGAGAGGGAACTTTCGAAAACCACGGTACGGAAAGATTGGAAGGGGGATGTTTCATGTTTTGCATCTCAAAAACTCGACGTACTCTGGGCTGCTAGTGGCTCTATCGGCGGGCCTATAGCTCATTACTCCCATCCGTTCCGCCACTATGAGGGAAAAGTTGAAGATTAATTGAAACACAGAAAAAATTACTAACTTGTGCGCGATCATCCCTCTCACGAGAGTTATTAGCGCAGGCGCCAAGTATTTCGCCGCTGCAGCAGCCTTCTGCTTATCTTCAGTGCCCTAAAAAGAATTCAAGGCCAATGTTGCGACAATTAGATCATTGTTGTCAACACCGAGCCATAACCCACTTCAATATCCCGAGCAATTATGAGGAAAGAAGAGAGAGACTGCGTCCCTGGGGCTTCAGGAAATCGCTTTGCCAGTTGATCCATCTCGTCAGTAGCTTGTGAGAATGCTTCAACGACAATGGCTGCATTTCCGTCCTCTGCAACCGTCGTCAGCTTGTCCTTTATGCTATTCGCGGATGATGAAAGTGACATCTTGTATTATGGGCCTGGGCTTCCGATTGTCGACTTGAATTCGCCGGCATCGTCACAGGTTCTTCGAAGCAAATACGAAGCAACATATGATTTAACACGACGCCTAGAATTTGGCTATTGTTATTGTGAAAAAAGGGAATCGCTCCAAGAGACTCTGGGCAATGTCGTCTTCTTGTCAATGCACACGATGCCAAATTCCTTCGCTATCTTTGCGCCACTATGATATTTAAGATTTGAACTAGTCCCTATATGCTCTCAGGGTTGCGTTGGAGGTGCCTGGTCGGGGCCATGTGCCCTGACAACTTCTTTTGTTTGTGTGGGTGATCGCATCTTTGTTTGCATAGCCCACGCTGCTAATCCACTACTTTGTTTATGGTAGTATGAATTATACGCCGATGCGAATGCCCACCACCCACAAGCTAAAGAGGGTTTTGTTTGTATTGTCTACTATGGGCGCCTTGAATATACTGTACTCACACGACCAACTACCGGTCACGCGTCACAGAAACCTCCCGGTCCGGTCGAAATTCAGGGTCTGTCACGCGTCACAGCCGGTTGGCGGTTGGGTGTTTGGGTGTCATGCCAGTTTTGCTGAGGCAAGGTGGCTGTGCAAGGCAATTCAAATTTTCCATTTCTGGAATGTATTTACATTCAAAAACGGAAAATTTTTGTTTGGTCTTCCAAGTTTCTTGTGTGCCTTGCTCGCATTCCACAGCCAAGTTCCTGCTCATGAATAGGCACAGGGAGTATGTGAACCTTGTAAATTTGTTTGGAGGACTGGAAGTGTAAACTGGATAAATTCAGTGACAGACAAGTTCCCGTCTGGAAAGTAGGATCCAATAAAATCACCCGGGATGTCGCTATATGAGATAGTCTCATCCGTACACAAAGCAATGCGGTGTGCAAGGGTAAAACCGTTCATGAGATGATGCACAGATGCTCAGAAATTTTATGGGGGCGGTGTTTTCAAATGTTTAAATTTTAAATTCAAGGTGGTTAAAGCGTTTTTCAGAGAAACTGTCCGATGAAAAGTGAATGGGGTATGACCCCGTTCGTGAGAAATCAACCAAGAAATGACCAAATTTCTGCAATTTCCACCTTTCAATACAGTCCGAATTATATTTCAATATATTAGTTATGTGTTCCCCGTCCATTCCCCGTCCCCCATCCATTCCACGTTCCCCGTTGACGGTGACTACATTGACAGAGATCCAGCGATCTAGCTCAATCCTCACATTGGTCGTGATCGGACCATGTCAAGTTAATTAGTTTTGCTGTATTCTGTTGATGAGCGACTTATGATCTCGGAGCTGGACTATGAGTAATGATAACCTCAGTCTCAGCCAATATGCGTGAAGAACTGAGGGAAAAGGAAATGAATTCAAATGAATGAATATGTCCGTGGCCTGGCACGGGTTAGTCCAAAATAGGCAAAAGAAGGTGTTGTGACTAAGTAGTCACATGGTGGATTCTGGGCGAGTTGCTCTCCCAGAATATTCCCACGCTAACGCAGGAACGTGGCTGTTCAGGTTAACTCCGCTGGAGTACCCTCATAGCACACGGTTCCTCCAACATATTCTAAGGACAATCGCCATCATAAGGACAATAATACTAGCATCTTTGCCGTGTCCTAGAAAGCCCAACTGCAGGGATATCATGGTGCTGTCTGTAGTGTCTCAATTTCAGACCTGTCATCAAAAGGGCACATAAATATGGGCACTCATGAAAGCAGAGTCCCCGTCAAGCTCTTGTCAGCTAGATCTTCTCTGATAGCGGTCTCTCAGTTCTTTGCTTGAACTATGCACGATCTAAACTACTATGTTCTCAACAGGGATAAGCGTGCCTGATGGAATGATGACCACATTATGGGATTAGCCCCGCGCCCGCTCCCAAAAACATCCCAACAAGCTTTCCAACAGTTCTTTGCAAGAGGGCATGCTTTATTCTTGCCAGACGACTCTGATCGAGTCCTTGATGCTCTGGATCCCTCAGCACATGACTTGCCTCCCAAAAACTGGACTGTTCAGTTTCCACCAAATTGTGCAAAATTTAATTTGAGTGGCCGGATAAACACTGACATTAGACTCATTTCATTCAGGGGAAGCACTCCCATCAGACAATCTGACACGCATCAATTGCGAAACATTCATTGTACGGAAGCAGAAAGCTGAGCAAGAGCACACAGACCATCAACAGACTGCTGCTGCCGCCGCACTTTCCACCGCAGCACAGCCCCCCGTGCCGCCTCTGCCCCAACTCCCATACTCTACATACCCAATCACGTACCCCATTGTTCCCTTTCCTACTCAACCGTCCATATTCCTCCCTCAGCATCCTACTTCCTCTCCTCCTATTGCCACCCTTACACCGGTACCTGCTGCAAAGTTGTCACCGAAGTCTCAATTAAATGAAAGAGCAGAAAGTACGTGGTTCTCTTGACTCATGAGCTTCACTCAATAACCCAAATAGAACTACTTGGAATATGCTACCAATGCAATACACTGAATCCCGACAAGGTGACAACGGAAGCAAGTCTCCATCTACCTGTTGACTGTGCTCCCTCGTTTGTGCTCGAAAAGATTGAAGAAGGAATGGGTGTCAATGTGGCCAAACATGAGATTGGCTACCTTCCAACCTTTGATGGAAAGCGATGACGCGATACACCAGTCCAACTCAAGACTGTAGAGCACATGGAAAAGGCACTGCATGAACTGCGTGATTGCTTGTCGCGGGCCCGGACCAATAAAAAACTATACATTATCAATATGGTATGTTCCAAAAGCCCTATCTACACAACACAATACTTATGCTTAATACACCAACTCACCAGAAACCGGTACCCAAAGCTGAAGACCTTGGGAAACGTGGAAAAGGCCGTCGTAACAATACAGTAAACAATGCAATCCAGTCCAACCCGGCTTCGGAGCAATACACTTTGCTTGAAAAGCAGTGGGGATGTCAGAAATGTGGTGGTCACTGTTGGCCGCATGCCCAGGCAAAGGGAAAACACCTCCACCTTAGCAATGCAATGCTGTCCTTATGGGCACAGCAATGGGTATGTATAATTCGTCGCAATCCTTGACATTGATCTTATGTTTATTGTAGACTGACAGTGTTCCCGGTGTTGATCTCTACAACCCTCCGACTCATCACTGGTTTGATGTTCCAGCTCTGGGGAAACAGACCAAGGCTATCAATGAAAAGCAACGCCGAGAATCTAAGAAGCGGAAACGCAGTGCTAGTCCACCAAGAACCCCAACAAAGTCCAAAGCTGCGACTACACCAAGCCCCCCAGTAAAGAAGGCTAAAGCCGATGTGACACCAGCCAAACAGCAGCCTGAAAAAGAAACAATAATCCTCTCTTCTGACCCTATAACTCCGGAATTTCTCTATCATCACGCATCCAAAGTCGGAACTGAAATCATAAATCTTTCATCCTCCCCAACTCCTGGACCTTCCAAGAAGGCCCCTGTCCCTGTTTTCAACCTTTGCTCTTCCGACGATTTTCCCGAGTCCGACACTGAGCATGATGAGCTAGAACCATAGACTCAGTATATAATCGCAAACTTGTTGTGAACCCAAAAAATATTATTCCAATGGAGTTTAAATACATTTCTAAGCCAAATATCCTGAGTGGCTAAACCAGCCACGCGTCGACTCGGCAGTCACGGAATACACAGCTTCAAGAAGTAAACCTTTTGCGCAATCCATATCCCTCCCAGATAGCACAGCATCAACATGATTCCTGTTGAGACGGAGCCAATGTTTGATCATAGAGAAAGCCTCTTCTATTGGGTTTAAGTCAGGGGAGTACGGTGGTAGGAATATGAGATGAACACCACTATAATGTCAAGACCAGTAAGAGCAAGCTTAGATAATTGTGAAGCACACATACCGGTCAGCGCACATTTGCTCAAGCTCATCAGATTTGTGAATCGACGCGTTATCCATAACAAGAACAGATTGAGGAAGCGGGAAGGGGTTCATGCGAGGAAGGATGGAACGAATGAAATCATTAAATGTGTCGGATGTGTATGCTCCCTCCTGAATATTGACATGGAGTATACCTTCGACACTGAGAGCAGGGAGTATGGAGTACCTGAGAAGAAGCTATTAGAATTGAAGCATGGATTTAGAGTCGAAGATGTTACATACTTGGTTCCTTGCACAAAAAAATCCCGGCGACGTGCTCGGTCACCAGATGGTGCCCAGCCATGGGAGCGTGAAGAGGTGTTGCGATTGCAACCTGTCTCATCGACAAAAACAAGCTGTTCAGCTTGGTAGTTCCGGCCCATATACTGCCTAAATGCAACTCGTAATTCTTCATTGCGTTCCGACGCAACTTTTTGCAGCTGTCAGAAAAAATAACTTCTTCAGAATGCTAAAGAAGACATAAAATGTATAATAAGTACCTTTTTGTACGTGAGACCCCATTGCTTCAAGCCTCGCCAGATAGTCGATTGGCCAACAGAGACATTGTGGTAGATCTCTAATATTCGTTGTATTTCATGAAGGTAGAGATCTGGGTTAAGCTCGATATGACCTTGCATCAGCTGGTCGATAGATTGAGCACTAGCACCAACCAATTGCCAGGATATGTCGTACTCACATCCAGATCCCAGTTGTTCAGTTTGCGGGTCTGCCCACGGTTGCCGACTTTCTCGAAGGGAATCCCCTGCCTGTGAGCCGAAAGAATACGGCGAATTGTCCAGCTACTGAAATGTGTAGCTTGTGAAATCTCCTCAGTAGAAAGGGTTTCGGACATTAGGACGATGAGTCGCTTCATGTCTGGAGTGGTGTGCTTAGCGCCCATGAGAGTGACTGTTGTGAGTGACCATTGTGCAGAAGTTCAGAGCCCGGACTTGTTATGAAATGAGACCCAGATAGCTGGGCCCAGCCACGAATACGGAATACTAGCTAGCTCCAGAACGGGGTAAAGACATGCCAGCGGTATTCTGGCTCTGTTTAGACATGAGACGCATCAAAACCAATCACGGAAAAGATGGCCAAACATTAGTTTGATCATGGCCAATGTGAGGACGGGAATTGCTAGATTGCTGGGACTTTAGTGTGCAACGGGGAACGCGGAATGGCTGTGCAAGCGCTAATTACTCTATTGAAATATAATTCGGACTGTATTGAAAGGTGGAAATTGCAGAAATTTGGTCATTTCTTGGTTGATTTCTCACGAACGGGGTCATACCCCATTCACTTTTCATCAGACAGTTTCTCTGAAAAATGCAGTAACAATTTAATATAAGTAATATAATTCGGACAACTCCGCAGCGCCCTGCCGGTTGGGTGTCACGCGTCACAACGAGTTGCCGGTTGCCGGTTTATATCACGTGACAAGCCACGTGGCTGACTAAGCCGGTAGTTGGTCGTGTGAGTACAGTACCCTTCACTGCACCCCATACCCAACAATACTGAACCCGAAACCATCCTTTTCGCTGTCGTGACCACTTGTGATACACAGGGACGCTCGAGCTGACATATTTCAATACTGTGACATCGTACATTGAAATCGTGAACTTAGCCTCAATCTGCGCAGTCGTTGGTCGCATCCGAGTCGGTAGTATGACAGATCCTCGATGGGCAATATATAGTTGACCCCGAGCAGTTCCTGGGCTCGCACCGTCTTTACAGATGTGTCCCGTGTCACTATTAGGATGTTAGCGATTTACGCTAGCGTTTTCCGCTCAGTCAATCGTTGTTGAACTAATAGATTTGAACTAATTACCTAGCGTTTTACGCTAGGGCATATGAAGATACATGAGTGACAACACAACATGTGGTAAAAGCGTAGTCTCACCTCAGTCAATCGTTGTTGAACTGAGGGAGACGAAAGTGAAAAATTCTTCACTGCTTTTATAAGCAGTCGCCTCAATGGCGCACTGACTTTGGTAGCAGGAATACCAAGAAAGGAAATATAGCGCCGCTAGCTCAACATCACATTGTGAGTTGGCCACAGCGCACTATAACTCCCAAGAAAACCAAGATTTCAACAGTCACTCCGTGGTGAAATTACACCATTTCTACCACTTGTGCTGACGTGTTCAATTTCCATTCTTAATTTCACCTCGTACTATTAGTAGACAAATCTTGTATGTCACATGTCACTCACTGTCTTGCCCAGGCGGCTGAATTGCAATGTAAACGTCGGCCCCCTCCATCTGTCAGGCAGGACTGACACAACCCGGTACCCATCTGTACTGCCATTCTCATTTCGTCTTGTCGTTCATCTTTCAAGAGGTTTCTTTGTGAACAATGTGTCTTTGAAAATGTTGTCTCATTCTCCGTTACCTGTGATTTCCTCAAGTGGGTCGTACTCAATTCCAGAAGCCCCGGGGTCTCCCGAAGTTGTCGAACGCTGCTATGCCGCCAGGAGGCCTCTCCGCACGCACACAAGCCTACGGTGGCGCAAGACCCTTCATGAAATCTTGTCATATTACATGATCTAATCATGGAATTACCTTTCTCAGTGAACGATTCTTAGCACAGTGTCTTCTTAGGGTGTCCCCATCATGCACCACAACGTGGTTCAACAGATTATCCGCTGTATGCATATTCCGCCGGCGTTCGGGGAGAAGAACCGCGAAAGTCTGTTCTTGAAACCCATAAGTACCATAAAGTGGTGGATCTGATCTGATTTACTACTCCATAAGCACCCTAAGTACCCAGTAATTCTCCGTCCACTGTGTATCAGATAAAGTCCACCTCTTCCTTCACTTCGCTTGGGTTCTGTAATGGACAAGCCGGAAATCGCTGATGTCGATTCGGAGGACAAGAAGCTCGGCTTCAGTAACACGAGTCATCTTAACAATGATGCTGCCCCCCTTAAGGGTAGCATTGATCTAGCTGCGGCTCGACGAGCCCGTACTAAAATCGACCTTGTTGTCCTTACCACGTCGACCATTGTTTGTAAGCCACCCAGCAAAGAAGATGAGCCTCGATTTAAATAGTTCCTGTCAGTGTTCCTGAATTTCCTCGTGAGCTGAAGCTTTCACGCATCTTGTGACACCCCTTACAATCTATCATTTTGCTAAGGATAAAACGAACATAGGTGAGTACCAAAGTGTCGTGCTGGCTCCAGTCTTTGACTGACGATCACTCACTCAATCAGGGAATGCTGCAAAGGCAGGGCTTTTAGAAGATCTCCACATGTCTTCGTATAGATTTTCCGTCGTTCTGAGCCTCTTCTTTAGTGAGTTAGTTTCGAGCGAGGTTCGCCATTACAATCGCTGAGACTCAATCCCACCAGTACCATTTCTACTCATAGAGCTGATCTCCAACTTTTTTTTCAAGAGGATTGGTGCCCAAATATTTATACCTGGCCTTGTGATCGCATGGGGCATAGTAGAAACATTCCAAGGTCTAAAAATGAAACCCCCACATAAGAATCAGGGGTTGATCTTGATTTTCACAGGTTTCGTCACATCCTATCACGGATTAATCATTTGTCGTCTGTTTCTAGGACTGACTGAAGGTAAGATGGTCTTAATAGCCTCACGGTCTACCTCCACTGCATTTTAGGGCCCCTGGTTCCGGCGCTCCTCCTATATCTGTCGGAGCTATACAAACGGCACGACTTGCAAAAACGGATAGCTATGTTGTTCAGTGCCTCGAGCCTTGCAGGCGCATTTTCTGGGCTTTTGGCTTATGCTATCGTTCATCTTGACGGCAAAGCTGGTAAACCGAACTGGAGGTGCGTTCGCCGTCATTTCGCTCAACTGTGCTGAATCTCGGCGCATAGTTGGATCTTCTTCTTAGTTCGTCCTCCAGGCATTAGATCTATCCATGAATTGAACCGTTCCTTTGATACAGGAGGGGATCTTTACTGTCATATTTGGTATCGCTTCGTACTTTTGGCTACCTAAGGATATTGCGAGTGCCACCTTCATGACAGAAAGAAAAATCCGCATACATAACTGCAATTCAAGAAGACACCGCCCTCGACAGAGTCGATGATGCATTTCAGCTCTCAATCGTATGGTCGTCTCTCACGGCGCCCCATATTGTACTCCTAGGCACTGCTGGTTTCTTTGCTGGTACGTTGAGTTTGTGCTCCCGTGCTTCGCTACTTTGTCACAAGTATCCCCCAGGTTACCTCACCAATGGACTGGCATACTTGTAAGATTACTGTCACTCTGCGAATCACCGTCACGGCAGTTGACTGATGATGAAATAGCATCCCAACTGTAGTAGGGAGTCTAGGTTACTCGCCCACCGAAACCCAGCTATATGGAGTTCCTCCCTTCGCCTGCGCGTTTGTCTGTGCGTCATTCCTTGCATTGTAAAAAGTTCGGATTTTAATCCTAGCATTCAATTCAGTGAGCATGATGGCCGCCTATTTCAGTGACAAATATCGTTGCAGAGGGCTAATTGCTCTTGGCGCAAGTTTCATCACTCTTGCAGGTTACGTTGTGATGTATTGTTCGTATAAATCATTAACCCAGGACAAACACGGAGTTGACTCGAAACTTTATAGATAGCACTAATGTCCACGTCAGGTATGGCTCTATTCGCCCAAACGATTGGCACATCCATCACTTCTCCTTGCGCGCTTGCGTTGATCGCGAAGTAAGATGATCGCGGTTTTGGTTCTTGTTAATTTTATGGACTTCTCATACAGTAATGCCTATCCTCACTATCGTCGTGCTACAGCTATCGCATTTGGTAACGCCAACATCATCCTACGATGCCTTTTGAATTATGCTTACTACATCCCGGTCTTAGGAATCGTCAACAGCAGCGCTGGAGGAATATTGGCGGTGTGGATGTATCACGATGCCCCTCGGTTCCATAAAACGACGAAGCTTAATGTTAGCTGCACTATTGGTAAGGATATACTCTTATTTGATGACTTGAAATAACAATATCTGGTCACTTAGTGTTCATCCTACATATATGTCTGATACTTGGCTATCTTTATTACAAGAACTTGCAGAAGGCCAAAAAGCGCGGGCTATACAATAACATTCCAGACGATAACGTTGAAGAGAAGCGGAGGCTAGGTGATGGACACCGAGACTTCATATACACTCTCTGATCTAGGTCTGGTTCGGGCATGAATTACCGTTACGATCTCATACGCGTGTATTTTTGCAGTTGCAATCAGTAAATTGTAGAGGAATGCCTTAAGCCTGGAAGCATGCTTTGGGGGATACGAAGGCCCAATGATGGTGAAAATCGATTGGAGAGCCTAACCACATAAGCTCATTGGATCACCCCAACCGTCCAGATTTTATGAGGAATACAGTTGATTCCGTTGATATAGATCATGGAGCCTCATTGGCGTGATTAGAAGGTTAAGACGATCTCAATTGGCTCAATCGAGCTTGGAGGTTTCCTGATGCTCGCCATGCTACAGCTATCGCACTTGGTAATGCTGACGACGTCCTGCGACCCCTCGGATTATACTCAGGACATCCTGGCGTCGCTCTTCCCAAATTTTCGGCCGCCAACATGGGCAAGGAACGCACTTGGCGTCCAGGCTCGATCAATCCAGACATCGCACACAGGCAATAACGTAAATTCGTCGCTGAGCTCCTCCAAATGCTCGGAAAGTACTTCAGGTAGGCCGAAAGGGATGTGCTCCTGGTTTGTAACCAGGAGAGTAGGGCTAAGTTCATAATCGATTGCAGCCTACAGGAACGTCACAGTTCCAAACGCGGAACCGTCTATGCAGGAGCGGAGTCCGTTTCTGATAACGAAGGGATCGAGTTCCGGGGAATATGGAAATAGTAAAAGGATATGCGCCGAGTGATCGGTAGATCCTTGATTTACTCGGAGGCGACCTCCAGTGCAGTAACAATTATTGAAGGACATAAATTGATTGGTGTTCACAGCTAGTACTCTTGAGTCACGCATTACCCTCAAGTGTTTTTGATATATATACTCATGCTGGAGACATGAGCCCTATACAGATGGTACCGTTGTCTACGTCCTTTCTATACGATGAACTCGACGGGTTCCCACATCCAGCTACCCTGAAGACAGATAGGCAATCTGGGCCTCGCCGAATGGTTTCGACCTCGCATCCTAACAGTCCTTCAATATCATGCATGTCAAGCCAATCTTGAAACATTGGATTCACCAGATGCAGGGGCCGGGGGGTTGTACTGATTTGAAGTCCATCCATATCGGAATTACGGTATGGTGTTCTGGAAGATTTCCTGTATGTCATGCGTCGTGAGAATGCAGAATGACGTGCACAGATGACGAATGTCAACATTTTCCTCTCTTGGTGAAGGCTAGCTTGAACTTCCAACCATCACTGCATGAATTACGTAAACAAACAATGTTTGCTAGCGGCTTCACCAAGTTGTCCTTCACTCGCTTTCTGCGCATCCTTGCTACTGGAAGCACGAAAAAGTAGGTAGAAACGTGGAAACCCGAGAGCTAAGACCTTAAGGCCCTCACTTAAGGACTGGAGCACGATGTCATAGAAAGTGCCTTGTTAACTGACAAATCGATCAAGCAACCAGAAGCAGACATAAACGTTGCACCGTAATGTTTCGAGAAATGTTGTGCTGAGGTTGAATAGGGTGAAGTTCCCACGCTTCGGTGGCATGCAGCCATGGCTAATATGCAGCGGTCGAGTTTCACGGAGCCAACTCGCTTTTTTCTTCTCTGATACTTTAGCACACATTGCAAAGCTTCAAGCGATATCTGCCTCATGGCCATAATGTCACGTCACGATCTCCGGATTCCTCTCGGCATTTCCAGGAGCCACACGTTGGAACAGGCTGGCCACAGATTCGGTCGGACAAGATGGACAAGTTGAAAGCCCTAGGAGATGCTGCATATATGCTGGGCAATAGCTCTTCAAGAGATGGGAATTGCGGTACGTTGGTTCATTTGGACGGTCGGGGATTAGAGCTCAACGGCCGTTGTCTTGATAGCAGGTGCATGTTCGCGGGACGTCGTAGGTGCCGTTGGCCAGCTAGGGGGGGATTCACCGAGCACCACCAATGAGGCCGTGAACATTCTCAATAACCTGGATTCCAACAGTATCATTGCGTCTATGCACACGTTCGTTAAAGTTCTGTAAGCGCCCCTTCAGTCTCGTAATTTTTTGGGATGATTTACGATGCTACCAGGGAAGCCGTCGTCGCTGTTCACGCATTTGTTGCAGTTGTTGTCATCCCTTTGAAGGTATCATTGAATACTTTTTGAGCTGTTTCCATCTTTCCCAACGACTTCTTCATCCATCTTTAAGGCCGTCGTACGTAAGGACCTCCAGCGACGGGTGAATGATCGGCGCACACTCTTACTGGTTCATGGGATGATCAAGATGATGAGGCGGCTAGCTGAGCTCGAATCTGTCAAACTGAACGATACTCAAACATTCACTTTAGCCGCCATTCTCCGGGAGATGGAGGTAATGTGATGCGTTTCCAAAATGTGAAGTCTCTTTCTCAGATATTTCCAGAGAGCGATAGAAGACTGTAGGATCGTTATTGAACACTATCTCAGGCGGAAGAAGATAGGTGTGCTTGCTGCCTTTTCATCTCTCACATTCGAAGCAAAGCCACTTAACATAAACTCTACAGTCCGCTTCGCGAAAGCGTCCTCGTGGCAAACGAAATTCGACGAGTTCTCTGTACGGTTCTCGACGTTGGAAGGCGAACTTAACGATGCCTTGCTGCTCGTCATTCATCGGAACACCTCCGAATCCAGGCAGCTGATGGATGGACTTAATTCAAAGTTGGATGCGATTTTGAAGTCGCTCGGTAAACCCACCGAATTGGAGCGCAGCATGGCTTGTTATGTCGATGCTGCTGGTGGCATCGAATGCTGTGTGGAGCAGGATCAGAGGCTCGAGGAGCTGATCGCCTTGTCTGATGGGGTTGATATTGTGAGTGTCAGCTGCTTTCTGATTTGCCGCGTTTCATTCCATGCCATCCCTTTTTTTGAATTCGCTGTTGTTCACATGCCACGCTAGGATCATGATCCGAAGTCGCGACTTCAAGAATACAAACAAGAGATACAATCTGCTCTTGCAACGCAGATCGAGGTTCTGCTTCAGCGCAATTCAGAAACTGTGACAGCGGAGCTAGGTCTCCGTACTGCCCAAGTTAAGAAAGACATAGAGCTCTACGCGCAGCGCATTATAAAAAGACTAGATTCTGGGCACCATGAGCGGATTAGTGACCCTTGCTTTCGGAGGATTTGGCAAGACGCAGTGCGTCCTGTACACAGGGTCTCCCCTCCCTGGCTGTTTTAACATTACCTCTTTGTAGACATGGAGCGACCCGGTCCAAGGAAAGACGTTCATTTGCACCATCTGCGAGCAGATCCGACTACAAGTGATATCTGGGTCGTCTGAGCTATCCGCCGACAAATGGGCAGTCCAGTTTCTCGAATTATCATATCAAAGCAGTCTACTGGAAGCGATCAATACAAGCCGTACTGGTTTTGTCAGCGTCGATGAGATCAACAAATTCACAGAGATGAAACCCCCACAGTTCACGTAAGCCGCACAATCTGGATTGTTCCAGGTGCTCATCCCCCGATGAAGTCTCCCAGCCTGGCTGGCATATTCAGCTGCACGATCTGGCTTCGAATTATTTCAGTATGTAATTCCATCTTCCATAATCTTCCCCATAGTAATCGTCGCAACGACAGCTACAAGGTGCAGATCCTAGGCGATGTGAAACGGCTCAAGGATGTTGTTGCTAGCTGTGCTATGAAGGGTGCTTTTAACTCAGTCGGAGAGTATCTCAGGGCAGTGACCACCGTGATCTGCGACACCTTATTCGCCTCTTTGAACGTTCCTCCTAACCAGCGCCGCGATGTGGAGGCGGAGCCTTGGCTTGTTGACCAGTTACGTTCGTTCATGAAGGCCCGGGATGCGAAACTCGTCGAAAGGCTCTCTGCCCTTCATTGGAGGACCGATGGAAAATAGCTGCCGTATTGGGAGACGCCCCCCTGGAACACGTAAGATTGCTCCACGAAAATTTAGAAGCATTTTCTTAGTCCTCCCTCTAGCATCTCCTAACCTTTCTTCATCTCCTTATCAGGCGCTATGTTGATCTTGCAACAAAGTCCGACCCCTCTCAGGACGAAAGAGAGTACCTAGAGAGCGGATGTGACAGGATATATGAAATTGCACATGTGATCAATGAACGCGTTCTCTACTTCAACTCTTCGTTGGATCAAAACCAGATTCGTGTCCTGGCTTATGGCATCTTCTCCAGTTGGAAAACCCACCTTCCAGTTCCAAATCTTCAGGACCCCGGGTGCGCAAGGGAATCAATTCCCGCGAATAAACAACCTGGCGGGCTTGAGGAGCCCTGCATTGGAAACAATCCCAAGTCTTCACCGTTTACACAGCCCGCATTTCTTCGACACCCGCCGCCAGCCGCAAGGCCTTCCGATCGTTCGAGGACTGTATCTCCGGTGCACCCGAATCCTGTCAAGAGCCCCCCTCGGACCCAGGTTCACCTTGACTCCAGCTGGGACCGTGAGTTAAGACATGCGTTCCAGCGCGTAGACACAGACAAGTGAGTCAAACTTTCCCATTCGTAACGATCTAACTTGTCATTCACAATGCTTTGCTGCACAAATTCATCGGGGGCATGTCGTGCTTATCACCTTTTCATCCATCGAATAGCTCCGGTGAAATTAGTGCCCCTGAACTGCACAGAGCACTGTTGAATGCTGATGACAGCCGTGTGTCCTATCACCACTCCCGAACCCTATGGCTACTGATGATCCGTCCTACCAGCACTGGATATTGATACGTGAGTAAGCGAGTGCTGGAATTGCGAATGATGCTACATTGACAAACCATCCACGATAGCTGCAAGATGTTGATGGCGCTTTTCGTGAGCATTTGGTAATTCATCAGTTCAATCCCTGGCGTTCATCAGCGAAATGGGCAGGACAAAGATCATAGCGGTACGATCAATTTTTCCGAGTTTGCTCAACTGTGGAAGTACATTCAGGGTAAGTGGCTTGACCAATCAATAGCGGTGCGAATCTGATATTTGCCTTGGGCCCTACAAGATTGGAGGAAGTGAGTAGATATTACCTCCATATCCGCGTATGACCTGACGGAGGGAATTAGAATATTCGAGACTTTCGACAGGGACAACTCTGGGACGATTGATCTCCTGAGCTTTCGCATGCCCTCCGTCAAATGGGCTATAACTTGAGCCCTCCGCTATTCAAAATAATTCATGTGAAGTTCGAGCGATTGACAGATCAAGGCTCAGGGATAACTTTTGATAGGTATGTATATTTGGTGTCCGCCTGTTTTGAAATACAATGTGCTGTTGCATAGATTCGTTCACGCATGCGCCATAGTAAGGGAGTTGACAGAGATGTTCAAACGGTCAGAGTTTCTATAGCCTCCTCTGACATTCCACTTATTTCGTTATCAGGCTGGACAACGACAAAGATGGCAAGATAACCATCAACTATGACATTCTTATGTTAACAGCGCTTGCTGCACCATGATGCCCCTACTCAGCGATACCCTAGACGCCCCCAATACATACCCATGTTCGTTTTTTTCGGTTGCTTGTTCTCCCACAGCGCATTTCTGTACTATTGGTAGCCTTGATCGACTGTGTGACTTCAAATGAGTATGTACTTAACTCGTTCTTGACTCGCCCACTATCATGCCAATTTCGAATTAAATCCACACTACAGGCAGGCCGCGAAAGCGTTTTCCTACCTTCATGACGAGACCTCAGGCTGCGCCGAACCCCTAAACCAGACCATTCGATGCAGCCCACAGCATGTCATATTCTTGGACGGAAACACAATGGCCACCGATCCGTGCGAATACGACCATACGAATGTGGCCGGTGTGTCGTGTGGGCACACTACTGTTAAAAAGAGGCTGGTTACCTGGGAAGCCGGGTCGCAGCTCAGAGGGAAAATGCCGCCGTCATACTGTCCAGCTCAGCCGTTAACATGCCACGGATCATTGCTTGCTCGCCACAGGTCATCCCTTCAAGTTGGAGCATGCACACCAGTCCTTACCCTCATCCTCGTTCTAGCCTTCCAACCAAAGCGCGCTGGTATGTCTTTATCTGGTTGTCTTGTCTCTTCATATTGTTACACACCATGACAAATACAGTCCGTGCGGTCAAACTTCCCTTCGCAACACTTTAAACCGACATCCTTGCCGCGGCTGGATCGTCGTTCTCCCCTGGAGCACTGGCCTCGTTTCTGCACGCTGACTCTACCACACCCGGCACTAATGATCCTCGAAGTCTCGTTCAGCATTTCTCGAAACATTACGGCACAACGTTCGGGTGTGCTTTTGGTTGCTTAATCATTTTTATCAGGGGCATGGTCATCACTTCCTTGAACATACCGTCGTGCCACAGGCTTTCCATCTTGTTGTATATCTTTCCTACTTTGTGGGGCGTCAGGATGAACAAGAAGCGCGCGAAGGACAATTTGGTGAAGCCGCTGGCAAGTGTCGTCTGTCTGCGTAATTCGACGATGATCGAGCTTTTTGGGAGTTAAACTAGCGTTTACCCGAGAGAAAAATTAACATGGTCAACCTATGCAGGTCATTCCGCATGCGTCTTCACGGGGTATGGCATACTGGAAAACTTCCATGTCGTAATTCAAACCGGATTCCGATACGGAGTGCACTTCGCGCTCGGCTAGTTCAACGTGAGCGAACCTCATCTCTTGAGGGCTAGGTTTTTTTAAACTCTGGAAAGCGATGTTCCATTAGGGACAATTGGTCAAACTCAGCAAAACCCAGTTTGTCATTTCTATGTCTTCGGAGCTAGTAGATGAATATGGAAACTGGATGGCAAGGAACCTATTGGTATGAACACGAAGAAATATTTAAGCTTATATATACTAGCGCGCTGGGGAACAAGCCTCGAGTAGTTCCCGACGGGAAAGCTCTCTGCTCGCGGGCTGAGGAAGACGACTGCGTTCGAGAACATACTCGAAGGCAATATGTGCATGCGTGAACGTCAATCAATTCGCACACTGCTTGTGCATACGTTCCTTGACCGGCCAGAGTTATATAGTTTCGTGGTGTAGAACGTCCCAAAACTCGGTTCCTGTTGGATAGCAACGTGGTCACCAAAGACACACACGGCATCTCCTGTTGGAACGATGCAACAAGCTGGGAGGTCCCTATATTTCCGTGCTGCAACCATCATCGGCTTGTTTGTTATGCCATTCAAGGATGATGAAAGTGACATTTGATACAATGGGCCTGTGAACATTGGGCTTACGATTGTCAACAACTTTCCAGGTCGTCAAAGGCTCTTCGAAAAAAACAAACGATGCAACATGGAGAACACGACACAAAAATGCCCCATATTTGGCTATTGTTATTGTGGAAAAAGTGAATCACGGGAATCGCTCCAAGAGACTCTGAGCAGTATCGAGAGCGCTCGTCTTCTTGTCAATGTATACGATGCCGAGTTCCTTCGCTGCCTTTGCGCCACTGGAATATTTAGGATTGGGAGTGGTGCTAAGTTCCCCTGGCAAACCCTTGTTTACTTTGTCCTTCAGCTCTGTCTGTGCCAAAGCGTCCACTGTCAAATAAGCCAATTCAATAAATAGGCACGTTCAGTTCGGGATCCCATGAAGGACTTACGGAACTCTTGCCAGATATAAGCTCCATTGCTGATGAGGTATCGTTCTCCACCTGCGTTGTCACGAACGACCGCTTCGGCATGGGCATCCGCGACATTCCGCACATCTACCCAGTTATTGGTGGGTTTGAGGAGGGTTTCCCTATCATGCGTGGCACTCGGGTCTAGAGCGATCCTGCGGAAGTAAGCGGCTGAGGTGTTCAATTGTTCCGGATTCGGGCAATCGTGAAGAATTGGCTACGATTTACACGTATCAGCAAAGGGTGAGCAGTTAGTTGTGCGTTCTGAGACTTACCCCATAAACCCATGGAGGTAGAATCGTTACCAAGTCAAACTTGATTTCTCCCTTGCGCTTTTCAACAAAGTCCCATGCGGCCCGTTCTGCGAACGTTTTGCTTGCACGATACATTGAGGCTGGAGGCGCATCTCTCCCTTGCTCGGCGACAACCTGAGGTCGTATTCGTTCCAGTCCTTTTCAGTGATAACGTAACCATCGCCTTCGAGATTGTAACATGCTGCATTCGATGACGTAACTACGACCCGCTTTACATTTGTGCTAGAGAGAGAATCGTCCTCGTGAATATGAATGGAATCGACAGAGATACCAGGATTACCCGTATTTGAGAATACTTTCTAAGATTCCAGTCGTTCCTTTGATCGCAGGAACGAAATAGTCGTCCGGATGCGTCCCTTTCATATGGAAAGGTGAAGCAGTATGTGCCACCGCATCCACATTCTTCACCGTTTCATCAAAAGCACCTTCCTATCACCCGTAGCGTTCGCCAAAGAGAAATTGAGGCACTGATCAGGGGAGATCTTACTTGAGCGACGTCCTCTACAACAACATATGAAAATTTCCCAGAGAAGTCTTTCTCGAAAAGGTTCTTGACATATTCCCCTTTGGGAGCGGATCGAACGGTTCCGAGAACAGAGAAACCTCGTTCGAGCAACGATTTAACGACCCAAACTGCAATAAACCCAGAAGCTCCTGTTAACGATGGATGATTGGATACGTTGTGTGAGCGCGCGGTAAGCCTAGCTAGTAAAGATTTACCTGTTACTAGGACAGTTGCTGGGGCTTTAACGCCAACCATGTTGTTTCCCAGAGGCAAGGATCCAAGAGAATATGCCGATCACAACCAGATGCTTGACTGTTGGAACCTCTCTATATATGCTCTCAACTTGTTGCACCTCCGAGGGGAGTCCGCAAGGAGATTATGTACAGATTAGCCTCCGAGATGGATGATAAGAATATTAAAAATGCGCTGGCCTCGGTTCAAATCTGGCTAAATATGACCCAACAATTAATTCCGACAGCGGCGGAACGGCTATACACTAATAGAAGCTAGGGTGCATTACTCGCCCCGACGATCACCTCTCCGCATGCACCGGAAACGTTCCAAGCCTCGGTTCTTGCTGTTGGTAGCAACCGGCGTGGCCACCATCATAAAGACATGCCCACTGGCAGGGCCAGCACCCTTATTGGAACAATTAATGCAATAGGTGAAGAATGGCTGAGGAGTTTTTACCGGCATGATCACACGCACCTGTGCATTCTGTGCAGCCACTATGAAGGAACAATCGTCACATTGGGCCTTGGCTGTCGGAGTTTCCCATGGTCACGCACAGTAATTCTATGCTGAAAAAGGGAAGCATGCTGATACATATTCTCGTACTCGAAGTTACTCATCGATCCAGTTACCCTTCTCTACATCATCTAGCTCCTTGGCTGTATGCCCACTGATATGAGATGTGTCACCTAGCTGCGTGCTACTTTCTCACACGTCCATGCACTCACCCGGCCCGGAGCGAAGTGATACCGATTTTCCCTGTCATTCTCGACCACAACAAATCTATCTTCTCACTGCACAAGGTTGCTGCGTATTTACATAAATGACGACGACAAATTGTACTGCAAAAGGATTACGAGTAGCACCATCAGAAAAATCCGAATTCCTGCCCATGCAATGTCCCTAGATTACGTATATAACTAGGAAGATCGATATTGGAAAGTAACAAGTGTGATGCTTGCGAACGCAGCCAGCACACAAAATAGTCGAGTTGTCAAGGTGGTAGATGCCATCCCATGTCCACTCAGTTTTCGACACCACGAGGATTCAGTCCTCAGTTTGCACGCTAATTTGTATACAAAAATCCTGACCAGAAACAGAGCTCGCTGCAGCGCTTAACCGCGGTATATAGCTGGGTTCGCCGTTATTGCATCCTCATGGGAGTCTGTTGCAACATTACCTTTTCATCATTTACCATCTTCTTGGATACCTTTGAGGGCTGTCATCGTTCATTTTGTTACCCTGTAGGCCTGTCAATGTCGGACTTCAGGGAAATTATAAGTTGGGGGACCCATGCATGCATTTGAATTACGCATGAGAAACAATGGCGCGGCAGAAATTCAAGATAAGGAATCCAGTACATGCATGATGATCATTTCCAAAAGAAAAAAATCACACTAAAACCAGCTGTTGCGATGATGCAGCCGATGTATGCAACTGGAGGGTTTCGATCGTGACGCCCTAGCGTATGAACCACTGCAACTAGCTGAGCCGGTCCCTTCCAACTACGTGCATGCGATCAAGGGAGAGGTGAGTGAATGATGCCGGTGAAGTACGTACGCGCGCGGGGGGAGGGGGAGGGCTGTACCCAGCCAGGCCACCACAAAAAAAAAAAAAAAAAAAAAAAAAAAAATGAGTTGCACGAAAAGGCTTTGTTTCCGTTGCACTTTGCAATATTAGGTACCAGCCTGCACATTAGCATGCCATCGCTGCCAATGAGGCAGCCAACGGAGAATCCATCAGGCGAGAGCAAAAACAATCAACTATATCCGATTGCGCATGAGGTGTTTGGAAAAGACCTTGGAATTTGTAAAATGCCTTGCATTCGTCCAACTTGAAAAATAATGATGACTGTGGACCGGGACGTGTCCCTCCAGATGTATGTATTCGGCCATTGATTCCTCAAACTGCACCGTGAACGGCAAGTCGTGAGTCAGGCCATGAGCAGCTAAGGGTGAATGTCGCGTTGATTTGAATTTTTCTTTTCTTTCGATCCCTCAAATTCTCATAGTGGGTAATCACGCTTGAAGCTGAGACCGACCCATTTGCCATTTCGTCCAGAGCACTAATTAATTGGATCGTCATCGGATCTCAGCCCGATTTTTTTTTTTTAATTTTATTTTTCAAGCCTTCGGTGGTTGGACTGGAGAACCATGATTCTCCGGACGCCCTCGGGGGTCCAAGCGTGAATGCCTGTGGTTGAAACGACTCGGACGTTGAAGTGGGCCCAATTCACGTTTGTATGGGGGATCGCTCAGCTGACAAGACACCAAATTCGTTTCTGGTCCTAGTTACAGGCATCGATTTGGGGGGTTATGATGGTGGGGGAAGATGGGACGCCTTTTTTTTTTTTTATGTTGAGAACGAATTTCGTGGCAACCTATCTGCACGGATACAGACCGATAAACAGACGGATGCAATGGCCCTTTGCTAGACCCCCCCCCCCCCCAAGTCATCGGTTCCGTTAGTACGGCTGACGAACCCGGGGAAGTTCATATCAGCAAAAAAATGCAAATGGGTATCAAAACGTTTTGATCGAGATAAAACACTCACATCATCGATCGAGGCATACAATCTCGTTGCGATCAACCGCCCGAGAATATTCGCCGGCGGGTGCATAAAACGTACGATGAATGAGGTGTACTCCTTTGCAATGGTGGAGTCTGTTTCGATCCATCTAAGCATTTCAAAGTGAATTATGATCATCGCGCGCGGGAGACGAACAAGTGAAGTGGCTAAGGGGGGGGGAGACATACGCGAAACCATAGTTTCCTGAGAAGTCGGGACTGAACGCGATCCTTCTGACAAATCCATAACTGTTATCCTTGACGAATTGAATGGTGTATCTGGCATCTAGAACCATGGACAGGAAGGATCAGTGTTTGTCGTAACAGACACTGGTCCCCTGCCAACATACCGAGATGGGACCATGCCTCGTTGTCGATGTAGCCTTGCTCGCCTCCAATTCCAGGAACAATATGGGCAATGAGTGTCCCGTCTGCAAGTGTAACATTTCCCCTACGTTCAACATCAAGGTGAGTCAGCGGTCGGAGGAAGGACAAAAAAACAAAAAAAAAAAAAAAAAAAAAAAAAGCAAAAGATGAACAAGACTACAAGAGGATGATGAACTCACCCTAAAATCTTGGTATTTACCCGTCTATATGATTCCGCATACGGAACCGCTCTCAAATCCAAATCGATCAGGACGTTCGAATTGGCAATGTGCTTGAAAACAGGTGGTTCATGCCTGTGCGCTGTGCGTGCGCTTGCCCAATCACGGACGTCGGCTTTCGCTGCAGTAGCTACCCCCGTGTTGGGGCCGAGGGAAGCAGCGAGGAAGAGGATGGATGACAAGAGTGCTTGAAGAGAAGGCATAGCAGTCAATAGGGAAGAGCGCGGTGACTGGGATGTATACCACCCGACCCCCTTCTAAAGTCTGGGGTTGGAGTTTGGGCAGTTTTCATATTTATACACTCCTGTCTAGGGGGGGGCCCTGAACGACTACACGGCATGTGCCAGCAAAGGGTCCATGCTGACTGAGATATGGATGTTCCTCTGAACTTTGTGAGGTGTGTATGGCATAATATTCCGATATAGTACTTAAGGGTAATGAACAAACTCGGAGGCAAAACCGTGTGCCAGCGCTTGAGGGCTCATCAACTTCTGAACAAAGAAGATGTGTCCAGCCAACCCTTGGGAAGCAATAATTCTATGACAGGATGGACGGACGAACTAGTGCGCTCGACCCAATTCGTCAAACCCAAACGGAGATGTTTCCATATGTGGTTCAAAGTGGGGCTGACATTGCGCGCGAATGCCACGTGGTCGCCCATGAGCCCCAAGGCCTCCTTATCTCCAAGCTCCGCTGAACGGATTCCTGAGCAGAAAGAACATTGAACCCTCTCAGAAGCACGTAAGAAAACACGGAAATCATATCACCAATTATTGCTGGTGAAGCCGTAGCTGGCTGAAGCAGCTTCTATAGAGTGAAATCAGCTGCGCACGGAAGCAGGGACTCATGCACAAGGACCCTTGTATAGCTTCAGCTATGTAGCTGGATTCCCGATCAATATTTCGAGGCGTGCGCGAGATCGAGATCCATGTTTCACTCTACATAGCGGAGATCCCAAATCCCAAAACGAAAGAGGGTTTTTATACATTTTGCAAAAAAAAAATCTGCCGGTTGGGATATACATATTCTAAAGATCATCGTTCACGGAAAAGGATTTGAGTTCGGTCCTCACCCAAATGTTGTTGACTAGTCAATTCTTATTACTTATATGACAGGAATGCATTGGTTAGCTGGAACCCAGCGCAGTACATAGGACATAGAATGATGGAGACTAATCCATCGCACTTGCTTTACATAATGCGTGAAGAACAAGAAAAAAAATTAGCAATATTACCAGCACGTTAGAGTGCCTGAACCCTCACGAACTTGATGGCTTGTCATAGAGAACACCGCTTCTAGAAAGATAGGAGACAATAGAAGTTTGTCCAATGCTTGTGTCACTCTCAAGCTCATTTTCTGAGCGTAGCCTGTTCGACCGAGGTACGACTCCTGTTCAATGAGATGATTATGAGCCAAAACATTCCATGCAGGCGTGCGCAAGCGGTCAGACTTACATTCACTCTTCATGAATACTGAGCGCTCAACGTCGTCCTCGCGTTTCATCCTGGTAAAGGTGGTGCTCATAAGGAGCAGCGAGCCAACTTCTGAATAGTGCGTTCGGACACTCCTGAAACTTCAGCAATCTCCGAAGATAATTACACGTGCGACGAGTTTAGGCGCCTAAGTAAACACGGGCACACTGGTACCGTTGCTTCCTGTTAAAATGCCCAGAACGTGCCAATTTGGTAGTGAGCGACTCTACCTTGATCACTAGTTCGTTAAAACCGAAACGGGCAGATTTTTATTTGCAAGGGGTTGCAAACACTTGACCCTGCCGGTTGTCCTACGTTTCTCTCGTACCAACTGGGACAGATCCAATGATGGTGTCTATCAAGGCAAATATTATGATGAACCATTCGCACGTTGATACTCGGGTCGAACCACGCACCCTTGACTTGCTCTTTGACAAGCGCCCATTGGCATTGATTTAATATGATCTGAGCTAACGCGCGACATAGCCCTTAATAATCCAAGATTGCGATCACAATTTTTGGGCATGCCAAGTAAATCAGACGGTGTTGCGGTTCGAGGCGCATCCCGATCATTGAGATTCTACGCAACTGAGGTGAATTTTTTGTTGTACTACTGTACACGTAACGACGTGGCAGTGTGTCCTCAATACAGCATGCGTACACGGGATCGTCAAGGCATGGCAAGGGTGACTGGTTGGTGAGGTCGGCGGTGACGGAGTCCTCTGGCTTGTGGTTATTGGCTGTACTGGATTGTCGTCGATGGAGGAACCACCACAAAAGCCGTATTTACATTTATTTGTACCGACACTCTCTATTGAGAGTTCTGCTGCGGACGTTGAACTTGTCTACAAACCCGCGACGACCAAGCAGTCGATCCTAGAAGCCCTCAAAGAGTCTCACAGCGGACACTGCGAGCGGTGAATGCATTCATCCCGGGCTGGCTATACATACACTGTGCATTCATGTTGAACCCCAACTACCCAACTTCCCACAGTTTCATTGGCGCACAGACATGACTCTCTGCCCTCAAGAGGAGAATTTACTGACAACTCTTTTTTTCTTCATACTTACCTTGACCTGGAGAGCCCTTTCAAGTTTTGGGATCTCTGGTACCAGGGATGCATCATTGCACGGCGACCACGTTGGCCGCATTGTGACCTTGGTGTTTGTATATTCCATATTGGAGTATGCAGGGTCTCAATCTTTGCCTGCTCGTTGCGGCCCTCCGGCTGCTACGAGCCAATTCTTTTTTTTTTCATTTCCTTTTCTATAACTCCTAATCCCAATCAACCATCATTTGAGCGGGGTGTAATTTCAAGATTGTAGTGGCCCACCGATGCCATTGCTGTATCATTTGTATATATAAGAGACCTGTGAGGAGGGCTGCAGAACTTTGTCTCAGAGCTAGATATATAGAGTGCTCATTTGCTCAACCCTTGCCAGCACACTGATCCTGATCTCACTACAACACGTTGAAGGAAGATAAAACTAAGACGACAACGCTACATAAAATACAGAGACAAAACAGAATGCAAAGAAAACTGAAGGGCAACCAGGCCGGCGGGGAAGAGACCATTTGTGCATTTATGTAGGAAATGGCGGGGCCAACAAAGAACAATACAGAGGGCGTTGTCCAGTCTATTGCAATAGAGGGTGACTGTTGCCCAGGTGATCTCTTGATCGGTAATGGAAAGCGAGGGGATTACTGTAAAGCACAAAGAAATTGTGGGGATCTGGATAATGGATAACTCGCATCAATTTATCGTCGCGTATGGTACTTATCTTTCCGAGGTCGGAAAGGGCTGCGGAAATTATAGGCATAACTGTAAGCGCAAGTGATATTGTCGGAAGTAGCCGGTATCAGCCATGATCGTTTCATGGCTATTGCCGTGAAACTGGTTTGCCGACGCTTGGGAGAAAATCTCCTTCCAAATTTAGGCATGCCGTCAAAGAAACCCTTGCACCTTCTGTCCCCGGTTCGGTCGCCAGCGCTGTCCATTTAGGGCAACCTCAGCGCAGGAGCTTGCAAGAGACACCAGAGATTGCTTTTGTTATGCATGAGGCTGATTGCAGCGCCATGGTGACTGTGTGGGGGCTTGCACATTTCATAAATATTGCACTTTCTCACGGAAAAACAATCTTCGGCGAAAAAAAAAAAAATGGCCTTCGCCAGCCCGACCATTTATTTATTTTAAAATCAAACAATGGACACATCACAACGCTTAAGTAGAACTTGCTTTCGCACTTGCATCCAAACGTATTTCCAGACTCAAAACTGATGGCAGGTCCCAGCGCTGCGTGTTCTCGGGAAACTCTCCTCCCCCCTGAACAAGATGGAGTACCAAAGGAAGATTGCGATCCTGAGCGCTTAGAGTATGAAATGGGACCGTTGGAACTAAGCAGGAGGGCTCGATGGACCATACTGGCAGGAGTGTGGCTGGCCAAATTCCTTGTGGTGAGCTATATAACACAACCTTGGATTTTCACCATCTATTTCAATGACAACTTTTGTTCATCTCTCCCTAACAGTCGGTAAACAGTAAGCTTCTATGAAACTCTATCTAGAATCAGAAAGCACCAACACATCCTCTGGCGTTTGCGCTTGCAGCGACCCTCGTTGCGACCTTGTTAACTCCATCTCGAGCGACTTCACATCTTCCCATTTAGCGGGTTGGCTCGGTACAAGCTACCTTTTGGCGACTGTTCCTTTAATCCGCTCTATGGGAGACTATGTGATGCGATGGGACGAAGAGGTGCAAATCAAACTGCTCTCGTCCTTCACGTCCTAGGTCTGTTGGGCTGCGGTCTCTCGAGGAACATGGAGACGTTGATTGCGGCTCGTTTCGTGAGCTTCTCTAGGCCTTTCCATATGACCGCTCATTTGCTGATCAGCCTATTAGCTGGCTGGCATCGGTGGAGGAGGTCTCGTTACTACTACCCAGTATGTAGTTATTGAGTGGGATAACTCTCTAAGCTGATGCCTGCACAAAGGGTCATCATTTCGGACATGTATAGCGTTCGGGAGCGGGTCTCGCCACTGCCGTGGCTTCAGTTTTCAGTGAGTTGGGGGATATACATTCGAGTTGGGTTGTTTCGAAACATTGACTGATTCAACAACGTGGTTAGATGTGTTAGGCACAGGCCTGGGCGGCGCTTTGGGAGGTTTGATAAACGATTGGTGAGAGGGAGCTAAACTCCCTTACACCAGTTTCTAACGCGGTACCGTCCTATTGCACAGGCTTGGCTGGAGATGGGCGTTCCTCATCCAGCTTCCTCTTTTCGTATTATCTTCTCTATTGACCTGCTCTTCCCTCCACTACGTCGTGCCTGGAAGAGAAGAAATGCATGGGAGGCTCTGAAATGCGTAGATTATGCTGGATGCTTGTGTGTCCTAGGCGGAGTATGTCGTCTTACTCTCTTGGGAAATAAGCTCTACTGAACAGCACAGGTTGGATCGTTTTTGGTTTTCCTTTCTCTACATTTTAATAGTGACATTCCTGTAAGTGTTTTCGCGCATGACCTATATTTTCGAAAGATCGGGCTTGAATTTTTATTTTTATTATTGGATTAGTTGTCTGATCCATTGGTCATTGTATCAATCGGACTCGCCATCGCTTTCGCCATCTTATTCATCGTCGTCGAATTCTACGTAGTCGAAGAACCCATCCTCCCTTCGTGGCTACTCAAGAAGCGCATTCCCTTACTTGTCGGCATCTCCAACATCCTCGTTCCACAGTGCAACTTTGCTGTGATGTACTTTTATCCATTATGGTTCCAGAGTGTGCAGTTATCCTCGACTTCGGAGGCTGGTGAGTTTTTTTTTTACATTTCTAGGGTATCTATCTATATAGCAAGTGGAGCAACAACACTCAAAGAAAGAGATGTTTAGGTGCTCACCTCTTTCCGAAAGCCGTGGCTGGAACTCTTGGATCACTCTTTGCAGGGTAAGGCTGCTAACCGCAAACTGCATCTCTCTTCACGATAACACATCACTGACGAAACCCCCCCCCCCGAAAAAAAAAACTAGGTGGATGATCAAGAAAACTGGAAAGTACAAAATCTTGATTATCATCTTTGGGTAAGGGAGGGGCGAGAATTTTTTTCGTATTCGTCGATAACTCATCACATCCACAATCTAGAATTTTTCCCACCATCGCTGCTTTCCTCATCGCCAACCTTCAAATGGACTCTGGAGCTTGGGCCCAATGGTTTAACATCGTATGTTCCTACGAAACATTTCGTCTCTACAGCAATCAAATCTCAGTTTGCGAATCTCCATAGGCACCTCTTGGGTTTGGAAATGCAGCCGTACTGCAAGCAACGTATGTCCTTGTAACTTTTTTTTTCCCTCAATGAGTTAGTCGCAACTGACTGAGAGTACTTCACTAGGACAGGTAACATTTTCGTATGGGGCATGCGTATCAAATCTTTCCTCTAACAAACTCGTGATTTCAGTCGCTCTCCTAGCTTCCGTCGAAGGTCAGTTGCTATATATATATCAAAGATTGAATAGCGATGGAGTGAGCTCAAAAACTACTTGCTTTGTACAGTTCAACATATAGCCGTCATGACAGGCTACACTCAGCTGTTCCGGGGTATTGGTGAGGGTTCCGTATTTTTTTTTTTTTTTTTTTTGGTATCACCCTCACAATCGCGCTCGGAACACACCGCAGGGCAAGCATCTTCTGTTGCGATATCCTCCGCCATGTTTCAAACGCGACTCCTTTCCGAGCTTCGATCGCGAATTCATGGACCTGATGCGGAGAATGTAAGGTTTTTTTTTTTTTTTTTGCTTAACTCTGACGTCGTCGTCGTCGTCGAGGTGCTGACAAGCCATGGTGTTTTTTACGCTAGATCGTCCAGAAATTCGTCATTCCGCCAAAGTTGTCGCCTCTCTTCCTTCGGACTTACAGCTGTCCGCTCGAGAGTCATATGCGATCAGCTTGAGAACAGTTTTCTTTTATGCAGCCGTTTGCATGTTCATCTCTTTCGTTGTCCGGCTTGGGGTACGTTGGGGCTTCTTCTTCATCTTTTTCTTTTTTTTTCCCAGTACAAATAACTTATTACGATCACCACTTTTGCGACAGATACCGGAGATCTCGCTGGATCGCAGATCGAAACCAACGCCTCATCCCAAGTCCTCGCGTCAGAGAAGTAGACGGAATCCTGGGGTTTGCATTTAGAGCTTAAACTCAGCCTTGTTCATGAATAAACCACGGGGATGAGACTTTGAAAGTTCACCCATTCACGGACACCGATAAACTACAGGTGCATATCTTCTGTCCTTACTGTTCAAAACTACAACAAAGATACAAATAATGTCATGTTATCGACATACTACGACGAAGCATGCATGCAACAGTAACACTTGCCTAAAGACAAGCCACCGCAAACACCGATCAACATGGGTATTGGATGAGCAAACCATGACGACAACGCCGGTATGCATATCATACTCACATCTACATATATCAGTTATTGATATTATACCCTTCTTCCATATGCCTAGTATATACGTGGTTCACTGTGTTTATTCGCATGGCACTACGCTACGCTACACGCTAACTACGTTCCGCATGGTAGCGCTTATTCGCATCTTATTCCTTATATCACTTATACCCCTGAACATATGGTTACAATATTGTTATTGGTGATCTTTCCAGTGTCCCGCTACGTGATAATAATGGTCTATCTATATATTACATAGGATCGATCGATCTGAGTCCGTGAAGTCTGATATCAGATTGTCGCACTCAGCCACCTTTACACACTGTATGTGGCACAAAACAAAGGGCAAACAATGCTCCCTTGGCAACGTTGCCAGTCAGAAAGCAACAATAAAAGCAACAAGTTTACCTGTAAACTTGGCTTTGTCCCAATGACCGCAACATAGATATCGTTGGCTAGCCGACTTATTGGTACAATGGGCCCATCTCAACACTATACATTAGTCATGTACGTGACGTCATCCATGCACTTTTGACACCAGCGGTCATTGCGACATCATTCCAAGAAACGATGTTCCGCCGAACACCGAGAATGGAATTAAGCCTGTATATGTAATCAAGCTTTTGATCGAGTATCAACTACATAAGACGGTGAGTGACAGACGTAGTTTTACATATCCGCAATGGGGTGATTCAAAGTTCGAATCGATCACTTCCCGCGAAAGATCAGCCGACGCTGACCCGGAAAGCAAACCCAAGCGAACACCGCGCGTGTTGATGACAATATGTTGAAAGTGGCGCGACTCACAAGACAAAAAACATCCGGTTTTAGCGAAAAAAGGGGATCTCGAATCTCTTTATCAAAATCGGCAAAATTTGGACCCCCTGGCACAAAGTGATTTACCCAAATAAGGAAATCCCCCCATGAGGTATGATTGTCCTTTACCCGATGAACTTGAAACCGGCAGATTTTTTTTTTTGGCAAACGGCGCGGCAGGAAGGAAAGCCTTCCGCTTTCGGGTAGTCTCCGCCATGTCTCCCAGCTAGTCTGGCCGGACCAGATCGACTCGCAACCAAGTTGTGTGCAAACAGGCACTAGTGATCATGACAGAAGTACGCATCCATATTCACCGCGAACCACCGGTAGTATGCATGCAGGGTTACTTAAGCTGTCGCGAACAGAAGCCGAAGTGTGAGAACTCTGTCCATTGACGCTAGTTCACCGTTCCATGTCACAAGCACAATTCATTCACCACACTTTGCCTAAGCTACTTAAGCGCGGGTTAGGAATTGCAGGGTCCCTCAAACAGAAAATATCTGGACTAAGACGGGCTTGAACTGCTCGTGCTCGTGCTCTTGGTTCCGCCAACCGACTCGAACCTTTTTTTTTTCTTTTTTGCATCAATTCCCAGACCAATGACAAGCCCCCAACTCGTTTTCTCAGAGAACACTCCCGTCCTCTCTGGACAGAATAATGCATTACCAGGAGAACAATATTACCGTACGGGATTCGAACCGGTGCGAAATGACGACCCCGAGCAGTTAAAGTCCGAGATTGGGCCGTTGGAAATAAGTAGGAGAACTCGGTGGACCGTATTAGCTGGAGCATGGCTGGCAAATTTCCTTGTGGTGAGTGTATGGTCACAATCGGGGAGGAGGGGTTCCCCCATCTGTTGCAATGTCAACTCCCATCGATGTCTTTTTTTTTTTTTCTCATAGTCAATAAACAGTAAGCTTTTTAAGAATACCACCGAAAAATCACCAACATATCTCTGGTGCTACTACTGCAGTGACCCTCGTCGCAACCCTAGTAAGCTCCATCTCGAGCGACTTCAAATCTTCCCATCAAGGAGGGTGGCTCGGTACAAGCTACCTTTTGGCAACCTGTTCCTTCAATCCGCTCTATGGGAGATTATGTGACGCGATGGGACGAAGAGGTGCTAATCAAACCGCTCTCGTCCTCCACGCCCTTGGCATATTGGGATGTGGTCTCTCGAGGAATATGAACACGTTGATTGCGGCTCGTTTCGTGAGTTACTCATAGATCCTCTCTCTCTCTCTCTCTCTCTCTCACACCATGAATGACCGCTCGTTGCTGATATTTGGTTCATTATGTAGCTGGCTGGGATTGGTGGAGGAGGTCTGGCTACCACTAGTCAGTATGTATCTATTTTTAGGATTTGAGCGAAATAACTAGCTCCAGCTAGCTGATGATAACCTGCAAAAGGATCATTGTTTCGGACATGTATAGCGTTAGGGAGCGTGGTCTCGCCACTGGAGTAGCTTCAGTTTTCAGTGAGTTGGGTTGGACTTGCATTATTTCGAGTTTGGGGCGTTCCCCGAAATCATTTGAACATTGACAACGTGATACATAGATGGGTTGGGTACAGGTATGGGCGGTCCCCTGGGAGGTTGGATAAACGATTGGTGAGAGCTATAGCCACAATCACTACTACCCCTTACTCCACAGAGCTTTCAAAAAACTTATATCTCCAATCGTAGGCTGGGCTGGAGATGGGCGTTCCTCATCCAACTTCCTTTTTTCACGATATCTTCTTTACTCACTTGCTCCTCCCTCACCTACGTCGTACCTGGAAAGAGAACGGATCGTACATGGGAGGCTCTGAAAGGCGTAGATTATGCTGGATGTTTGTGTCTCTTAGGCGGGGTATGTTTTGTTCTTTTCTGTCTTGGAAGTCAAGCCCCCCTCCCCACTGAAATAGCTCTAGATGGGATCATTTTTAGTTTTCCTTTCTCTACATTTCAATGGCGATACACCCGTAAGTGTTTGGCGTTTCGTATATGTTTCGAAACATCAAGACCAAGTTTTTTTCTTGTCATTTAAGTTGTCTGATCCATTGGTCCTTGCGTCAATCGGATTCGCCATCGCTTTCGCCATCCTATTCCTCCTCGTCGAGTTTCGCATAGCAAAAGCGCCCGTTCTCCCTTCATGGTTGCTCAAAAGGCGTATTCCATTACTCGTCGGCATCTCCAACATCCTCGTTCCACAGTGCAACTTTGCTGTGATGTACTTTTATCCGTTATGGTTCCAGAGTGTACAGTTATCCTCGAGTTCGGAGGCTGGTGAGGAGTTGTTTTTTTTTTTTTTTTCTAACTTAGGGTTTGTTTGGAGTTCAACCAAAACTCAAAAAAAAAGAGGTTGTTCAGGCGCTCATCTGTTTCCGAATGCCATGGCTGCATCTCTTGGATCACTCTTTGCAGGGTAAGGGGGGGGCTTACCACCACACGTTACCACAGTGCTCTTGACGATCGTATCACTGACAAACTTGATTAATGACACTAGGTGGACGATCAGGAAGACTGGGAAGTACAAAATGTTGATTACCATCTTTGGGTGAGTTGGGGGAGCCAATTTCGTTAGCTCAAAAATTAACAATTCATGATCTTATAGAATTTGTCCTACCATTGCTGCCTTCCTCATCGCCAATCTTCAAATGGATTCTAGTCCCTGGGCTCAATGGTTCAATATCGTGCGTCCCCTTCCCTCCCCTCCGTCTCGTACTCGCGTCAAATCTCATTCGCGATCTTCATTAGATACCTCTCGGGTTTGGAAATGCAGTGGTGCTGCAAACGACGTACGTCCCATATCCCTCTCGAATCTTGACAAGCCGCGCTGACTTGAGAATATATTTTCACAGATCAGGTAATACTTTTTTACCAGAATCTTTTTTTTTTTTTTCCTTTTCTGACGAGGCCTGCCTGTGATTTTTTTTTTTCAAATTTTTCAGTCGCTCTCCTAGCTTCTGTTGAAGGTCGGTGTGCTATATATATATATTGAATCCCCCGATGTTGAACAATGATGGAACTCAAATTTTTACTGCATTGCAGTTCAGCGCATAGCCGTCACGACTGGCTATGCTTCGTTGTTTCGGGGTATTGGTGAGGGTCCCCGCTCATACTTTTATTTAATTTGCATTGCCCTCATCATATTTCGCGCGCCTCTGGCGTTACAGGACAAGCATCTTCCGTCGCAATATCCTCTGCTATCTTTCAAACCAAACTTCTTTCCGAGCTCCGATCGCGAATACATGGACCCGATGCCGAAAATGTTAGTGGTGGCGTTTTTTTTTTTTTTTTTTTTTTTTTTTTCCTTTTTGTTTGCTTTAACTCCTGAGGTCTTCGAGGGTACTGACGGGCCATACGTGGTTGCAATAATAGATCGTCGAGAGGATCCGTCATTCTGCTAGGCTCGTCGCCTCGCTTCCTCCGAATTTGCAGCAGTCCGCTCGAGAGGCGTATGCGATCAGTTTGAAAGCAGTTTTCTTTTATGCTGCTCTTTGCACGTTCACCGCTTTCGTGGTTCGGCTTATGGTACGTAGTAGTTATAGGCTTTTTCTCCAACACGATGAACCTCTTTTCATCTCAAATTGCGATGCTGATGACTGACTGCGTGAACAGATACCGGAGATTTCACTAGATCGCAAACCCAAAACAATGGGCTCAAACGTCAGATAGCTAGATAGGATATGATCCTGGAACTTGCATTAGAGTAACTCCACCTGTTCGTCGGAAATTCAACGGGAACTTATGTTTAATGGTTTCGATCTACCTTGATGCGACTACTGTCGATGGCCCTTATTGCAGTTTTATCGGACAGTTTTTATTGCGTCGCTGCGCTAGATAAAAGCACGGCTATCTTTGCCTTTCATTCCCTCAGTTCTCGTTTATGAGTCTTGAAGTGTCCCTTTATTTTTACGATTAGGTATCTTTACTCACTATGATCTCATTGTGTAATACGCGTTCGTATAGTTATTATAACGCCCGTTTATATAGATGATAAATACAAGGTGACAGGATTAACCTTTGATCGAAAGGCATCACACTCGGAGCGACCCATTAGAGTAAGGGTGCATGCACGAAATTCACAAAGACGACCATGTCCATGTCACGCTTCTTGGATTTTCCGGCGCCGTGCGCAGATCGAAGAGATCTTGGGACCGCGCGGCGCAAAGCGGCGCATCACCAAGCGGCACCGCGCGTTTGAACTCGGACAACCTGCCTAATCGGAGGGTATCTATTGAAATTGAAGGTCCCCTCGGACCTCGGAGCTCCAGAGTGGAACTTTGGCCGCTCTGACAGTTTATGTAATGCTGGTGTATATGGGGTTGGGGTTTGGGGTTGTGGCGTGCGAAAGAAAGGTGAGACCGGGATGCAACTGTCAACCAGCATTGAATTCAAGGGCGCTTTCTGCAGCAAAAGTCCTATTCCAGAGAACGACTTCTTCGATGGGAATAACGAACGGCTTTGATCGCGATATATGCATGGGGCCCGCGAACACACATCTTGTAAGGTAGTACCTTACTAGACTGCTACTCACTCATCTGGCACCTGGAAAGTACCAGATCACATACATAGAAAAGCTAGCTCTTAAGAAGGCTCGTGAGCGCAGCTATATGCTTATAGCTAGAGGCCCGCGGGATTAGCCATTTATAGGAGGTACATACTACGATTGCGGCGTATGAAGATAGAGAGCTACTATGGTTTCTTAGCGTAAAATGAAAATCTATCAGCAGCTGAGGCTTCTCAACGAGATGAGCTAGGGATTCGATATATAGTATCGCGCTCCATGTTAAGCTAGTTGATTGTGATTAAAAGCGCTTGGGGAGAACAAAATGATGTCGGTGTATGTCTTTTTCTGCATACATATTGATCCCGGTTGCAGACTTTCCCTGTTCGTCGAGCCAGGCTGGCCAGGGGTTCAGACAACTTAGCCAGGCAGGAGAGAGAGAGTTGAAAGTCCCGAAGCACTTCAGGCTGATCTGATCAAGGCCATGAAGCCTGAGAAGGATTGATATGGTACTGAAATGTAATACAGGCGCAGCGGCAAGAATGGAAAGAACCTTCTGGAAGGATCGATACACGGCGATTGTCGATAGAACATCAAAGCCCAACATACTTTTCTACTCTTGTCAGATGAGAATGAAAGACTGGTGGCTGGGTTGTACGGGCGCAAATGATGCCGCCGCGCCGCCACAACATTTTCCGCTTCGGTTGGTAACTCGCGAATCTCACCATTACGGGAATGTCACCGCTCGTTCAGCCATGAAAACTTAGCTATGTGCAACTTAACTAGCGGCCCAATGCATAAGTAAAGCCTGGGGACTGGGAGTTTTCGGCCCAAAAAAAAACGGTGGGTCATCGCAAGCCAAGGGGTGAGCCACAGGCAGCAGACTCATCCTCTCGAGAATGACGAGATATCTACAAATACAAGGGCTCGCCGCAGTGTATGGCTAGTAGCTTGGTATATAGTGCGATGGTATGTCACTGACTGATTCTGGGAGCCCAAAAACTAAAAAAACGGAGTTTCACTACGTTTGTATAAGGGGGGGGGGAAAAACGAACCTGCCAGAACAGATGGAAGAAAGGGTCAGTTCTACTACGATCACTTAGAGTGTGTGTGACAGCCGCCCCAAGCCTCTGTATTTGGGCGTTTCAATGATACTACCAGTGATGGTTGACACGATATACACAGCAAGAGTTATGTTTCATCATCTAAGGGGGGGGGGGATTAGTTACTGGCTAAGGAGAATATAATATCAGGGCTGTGAAGTTACTATGGCTAGCGACAGCTAATGCCGCCGTCACAGTGCGCTGATGCGATCGCTATTATGTCGCAGCTCGAGCTTTCGCTAGGAGGGATGGCCCTAGCCTCGTCTATTGCTATCAAATACACCAGAAAGTTAAAGTTGGATTTCTCCTATGACTTGTGATTTCATGCTGCTGTCAGCGCCAAAACAATAGTGTGGAAAAGAGTGTGACCCACTGCACTTTGAAATATGGAATATTTCAAGCCAGAAACCCCCCCCCAATTAGGTTCGTCGCGCGGGAGGGGGAGGCTGGAAACTGCTTAGGATGGCTCTGTCGTATGGCGCCGTGGAACGACTCTGTGCGATGTCGACTGTGGCATGGAAGGTCGAGCCGGCGAGGTGCGGTTTGTCATTTCTTGCCGACCGCATGTAGGAACATCCCCCCCCGGATCACCTTGTGTTGAGAATGATTACCTAGTCATCCGGCACTGAAATTTCGCTGTGTCAAGCTTCGTTACGGGCCATGCCTCCGTGTTTTTTTTTTTTTTTTATTGCGGCTGCGCTCGGACCAGGTAGAGGCCTTCCCTTGCTTAACAAACGGCGTCAGCGTTAATAGCTCCCCTGCACCATGATCGAAATCATACATACATAGTCCCATTAAATATATTTCCATGTTTGGTTGGAACTTGGGTGCGCTTAGAAAGGTAGCCGAGCTAGCGGTGACTAGATCCAAAGGAGAAGGAGCAATGGTCGGCGGCCATGGATATGTTCTTCTGTATATGATCGTGGGCGGGCGAGGTCGCAGGTGCGGTACTCCCAGTAAGCTAGAGCCTGGCAAGCAGCAAGGTCTGATAATGATGATGAATCTATCTTATGTAATACCCCGCGGCCTTGTGGTGACGTGGCAGTGCGGCTACCTCTCTTCGGACATTGTGGCAGCAAGATCTGACCTAGGTGTTTTTTTTTTTCGAACAAGATAATTTGCCCGCTACATGCAGCCGGGGAGACCTTAGCGAACGGCTAGAGATCAAGGCCTTGCATGCATAATTATCCCCCGAGAATATTTACAAAACGCAAAGTTCACAGTGCATAGCCGACTTATATAGCTTAGTCGGCAAGGAACGCCTGCCCCCTCCCCCGGGCCATCTGAAAGATGGATCTATTAGAGTGCCAGCCGGAAGACGGGGCTTATGAAGATCCAGGAGGTGTCCAGGGAGAGCATTCATTTGAAGTTATCCAGTACAAAAAAAACCAAGCCTCCGGGCGCTACAATTCCATGGGAGTCCATCAGCCAGCCGCGCGAATACGCCAAATAAACAATGACCAAATGCAAGGCCGAAGTCCTGGGAGGGAGTGCCTAACTCTGCAAGCATAGTATTCGCTATCGGCAGGGGAAATACGTTATTTATGTCATGGCTTACGTGAGGACATTCAGGAGCCGGAAATCTAGACTCGCCGCCCAACTGCACCCATCATTCACAGCCCCATATGTGCATGTACAGTGCGATCAAGCCAATCAAATATTTGCTTTCCTACTTGGACGGAACGTATATCCTAAGCAATTCCAAAATATCCCATCAGTGTCGGGAACATCATTATTGAAAGATAAAATGAACAACCTGTAATCACATGGCATGACCCTAGCTGCGTTTTGTAGCCGAAAATTTTTCACGGAATGACGGATGACCTTCGCGGCGGTCGAATCCGCGGCAGGTGACGTGTCCCGTGGCTGACCGTCATGTTCCGAGGATCGGGTCCTCTCTCTCGGTATTCATTGGGAGGGTGATCTTGATGACAGGTTGATCCCGACCGGTGTCAATGACTGCACGGCTTTCTCAGCCCGAATTTATTTTGCAGATTGCTGTGAGAGCCTCGCTACGACTTTTTCCCTCCGTTTGTAGCACGGATTTCGGGCTGTGTGTTAGCACGTTCATCAAGAGTGGAGTTTCCTGTTCCACAGGCGTCATGATATGAGCGCTTGCTTCCTGCTCCATCAGATAGTGTGGTCCACACTGGACGTGTGAGAGGGACGATTTGAAAAATCGAGTGAACCTAAAGCATGCTGTAACGCTATAGAAGCCTAGACCAAGACGCGAGGCGCTGATAGTGGCAGCTGCGTGCGGTGTTGAGGGAGGGGGGCTAGAGCTTCTAGCATAGCTTGCCACTAGTGCGCGTTGCACGGAAGCTTTTCATTAGCGCCGATGTAGTCCAGAAGTCGATCCCTGTACTGGCAAACGTCTCTTGAATGCAGGCCAGACCTCTCTTATCAGGGCAATCAGAGAAATTGGCAAATGTGCGATAAAGCCGGATGTTTCCCACCAGCAGGGGAACTGAGGTATCTTGGAGATGAATGAGAGCCGCGCGGCCAGTTACAAAGTAGGCAACTTGTGAATGAATACTACCTAATTTGGGTGGGAGTGGCGGCCAGCTTCGAAATTGCCTTGTTGCTTAAAACAGACGTTTGTCGAGGTGTCACCAAGTCCTCGACTACCAACCACCTCACTCCTCCAGCCGTATGGCGTGTCACAAGTTACCCTACCGATCCAATTCCATCGACGAGCAGTTCAAGCACTATCGTCTGGATGGTTGGGACGAAGCAGCCTACGAGCGCGAATATGAGAAAGAATTGGCCCAGGAGTGTGGAACCTGCACGTTTAGGCGGCCTGTGGACGACGATGAAGCAATCTCCTTCGCTCGTGGATCGCTGGATGAAGTGGGCAGTGTTTCGAGGTGTACCCCGTTTGAAGCGGAACGTCCTGCACAAGTACCTTCATTCCGCACTCTGGATCCCAACGTCAAAGTTCAGCTCGGTCGGAGTAGATCTCATCAGGGGCGCAGAGACACACAGTCTTCACAATTTTCATGTCCATCTCCCAATACCTTCCATCCCCTCCGGAGATACTCGATTACAACAGGAGAAGGACTCCCGAGCGACCATTGTGGGCTACCTCGGAGGGCTAGCGATGTGAGTTCCAACGTCTTCTTTGCGAGTCGTTCAGGCTCCTCAATGAGAGTCCTTCCTTTTTTAGATTGCTTTGTATCCCAGTGCAACAAATGAACCCAAATCCCCACCCATCAGCGCTAAATAATGATTTGTTACGGACACCGTGTTCCGATTCCCAACCCAATCCCCATATCCCCCCACTCCACTCCACTTACGCCCTCATCGGACCTAAGCATTCCTTCACTGTTGAAATCCGAATGGGCGCAAATGCACCCCTCCCCCCACTCACCCACTCTCGTACTCCTAGTAGCAATGCACCCCCCCCTTCTTCGTTGTACCTATTTTCATAGACAATCCATTCAGCTAGTCAGGCAACAGCCTCACATCTTCACATCTCTGCCCCGGCAACCGCTGGCAAAAATCCAGATCGAGCCCTACCGATCTGCAACAACGCTGTTGATGATGATACCTCTAACCTCTAGTCTCGTTGCTGTTGGATTTCGTCTACGAGTTACGAGGGGTACACGACTCGCAAGCTGGAGTGCGCTCGTTATGTGAACTTGGTTGGAACTTTGGGAAGTTCGCATGATGTGGCCCTCATAGACTTTGGTCTTTTTGGCACAAATTGCCGGCCGGTCCGGTCCGGCCCGGTGGCAAGAACTTGCCCCACTCGGAACTTGCACATTACTTAATCTTGTTGTGCTAATGTCCGGGAGCAGTCATTCGTCGCACCCCACTAGTGTGACCTCCCATGCTAGTCACCTGGTTCTACTCTATTGGCTTCCGTCATAGAGATGTCACTTGGACGTGGGCAATGGGGATAGTCGCCGACGATGTAAATGAATGTTCTTGATGACGAGCGGCTGGATGGATAACTTGGGCATTAATATGAAACGGGGGGTCGGAACATTCATGGCATGCAGAAACCCCCCATCTTCCCTAGCTTACATGTAAATACTATCGAAGGATGTCTTCATGAAACGGCAAAAAAGCTCACTAGCCTGAGCGCTCTGGATCCTAATATTATTATTTTTTCTCACTCGTCTACATATGGTATATACCAGTGAGCTAGCTAGTGCGTGATCCGGTATATATTCTCCCTCCCTTTAAGCTTCCTTGGTCCATTTAACCACAACAGTACTGGAACGTGTTTCACGGGTTAGTTGGTGATATTCATTATATTTTATAGGCCCGTTCGGAACGTTGGAAGGAAACAGGTTTTTCTCCACTTAGTTTCTTAATTCAAAAGCACTATGGAGTCGTTTGCTTCTCCTCCTCAAGGAAGATCGAAACAGGCAAAAATATAACCTGTTTCTCCAACCGGAACGAAGCCTATAGCTATAAGCTCAGGGCTCATATGCTCAATCGGTCGCTAGACGTAACACACGAGGCCACTCTTCGCCATTCAATTTTTCCGTTATCACATCCTAGCCAGGTGATGGCAGAGCTTCTAGTCGGGTTCTATGTAATTCCTGTGAATTTTGTGTGCTAACATTATATACATGTATACATGATCATGAAGTTGGACGTGGGCCGATCGGTGATTACGCGCGGCGCCGCTGCATGTAACGACGGCTGCTCATCCCAATAGCATGAATGGCGAAACAACGCTGGCGCCGCTATAGGACAATAGTATGGCGATAGAGGGAACAAACGCATGCAACGGCAGCCATACTTGAGCGATCGCAAGGTCCATCTACATGCATCATCATGCCATCATGCTCCGATCAAACCCCTCTGAACCAAACTCGTCACCGTATCCGACAAACATTGCTTCTTACTGATATACTTGATCCCAAGCACCCTCCCCGCCTTTTCGCCACTCGAATAGCTCGGCTTGGGAACAAGATACGCTTCACCTGGGAGTCCCTTGTTGATTCTTACGGCCGTTCCAGCACTTCCAACCAGAGCGGCGAATGTAGGGTCGTCACTGGCTTCGGAAAGGGTGTTCACTAGAATGAAAAAGAAAAGGGGAGAAGAATGATCAGCGACCGTTCGCCTCTTCTTTTTTTTTTTTCTCTTGTGTATGTGTGTGTAGGAGGGGGGGAGGATATGCGGTGGCGGAAGACCAATCGGAGATGAACAAAATTACTCACAAAAGTCTTGCCATGAGTAGGGCCCCACACTGACGATAAACCTTTCCCCGCCTGCTTCTTCGAGGACCAAACTTTCAGCATGAGCATCAGCGACGTTCCTAACATCGACCCAACTCCCGTTCGCCGATAAGAGTCGAGTTCTTTCGTCTTGTTCCGAAGAAGGGGTGGAAGGACTTGTGCTTTCAAAGGCGACTTTTCGGAACAAGTCAATGGAAGTGTTCAAGGAGGAAGGACCTGAAAGTTCGTGAATTGTTGGCTGGAATTGAGAGTGTGTGATTGTGTGGCGCAGTAGTATTGAATTGTACGTGAGTTGATGTTGTCGCGCCGAGTTAGTAATTAGTGACAGCTGAAAGAATGTTGTGATAGGGGGGCATGTCCACTTACCCCGAAGACAAAGGACGGTAGGATCGTTACCAGGTCAAATTTGATCCCTTCCTTGGTCTTGACAAATTCCCATGCAGCTCTCTCAGCCAATACTTTACTGGCTCTATACATGTTCATCGCGGGGGCTTCTCCCCTTTTCTCCTTGACAACCTCCGGATCATGCGTATTCCAATCTGATTCGGTGAACACGTAGCCAACGGGTTCAGGGTGAATGATGGATGCTGCTGATGACGTTATCACTACCCTTTTGACATTTTGTCTGACGGGTATGTATGTAAGGTAGGTTGAGAAGTATAATATTGATATCAGAATAATGGAGAGCTGCGAATGGGGTCGCCAGACTTACCCATATTTGAGGATGGTTTCGAGAATCCCAGTGGTGCCCTTGATGGCGGGAGTGAGGTATTCGTCAGGATCCGTGGCATTCAGATGAAATGGAGAGGCTGTATGAACGACCGCATCGACGTTCTTGACGGCTTCATCGAACGCTCCTTCCTGAATGCATGTGATATCGATAAATTCATTAATTCGTATATAACACGCACGCACACACACCTTTCCGATATCCTCTACGATGACATAGGAGAATTTCCCAGGGAATTCCCTCTCAAAAAGGTTCTTAAGGTATTCACCCTTTAAGGTAGAACGGACGGTCCCGATGACGGAAAATCCACGTTGGAGGATGGATTTGACGACCCATGCTGCGATGAATCCGGAGGCCCCTGGAGTACGTACATGCAGAGTGAGAAAATGTTACAAATGTGGGTATAAAGGATGGGGAACAAACCTGAGACAAGAATTGTGGCGGGAAGTTTGATGGCAGTCATACTAGTGAGCGTTAGAGGTTCCCTTGAGTACGAGATGTGATAACTACTCGGGGGAAGGTTCAATGGACACCAAGGTGTGGGTTTAGTCAGTCTTATAAAGAATGCGGTTTAGGAGTCACTGGGGATAACGTTCGGGCCCGATCTGTGCGGAGAACGATAGCCATCGACATTTAGTCCCTCCGGGAGTGGCACGACTGCCGGCCGAGCTTGTTTGGTCATGGTTCCAGATTTACTAGTACTGTCTCCAACAGATGTAATCATGTGCAGGGGACTTTGCCATGAACCTCCAATATATTCCGATGACATTCTGTATCCTCCACATTCGATTGAAATATCGAGTGTGGAGGAGATCAGATTATGGGGAAGGCCCGCGGTGCGGGCATCGAGCCCCGCACACACACTTCTTTCTTGAGATGCAAGGATTGCTGTTCTCCATCGTTATGATGCGAATTAGACCTGTCGAAGTACGTGGAATAAGCCTTGATTGACATGAGATATATTGTTGAGAAATAAACAGTGCTGAGAGCTAACTATTGTCCATGATCATGAGTGACGCATAAATAAACAGACGCAAGACGAAGGGCGAGAAGGATAGGATGTTGTCCTCACTGGCAACTGGGAGCAGCGAATGCAGAGGTATGGTCTGTGGTAAGGTGAATTCAAGTGAGGGGCTCATGTCACCTTCCGGACAAACCACACAAAGATAAAGAACGAAAAGACAAGAGCCAGAAAGATCATGTAACATGCCCATCGTCCCCCTTGTCGTGTGGCCATGGCGTTCATTCGTCTAAAGGTCCCACTTAAGATGTCGGTTGTTTCTGTGAAAGCGTCGTTCTGGAGGCAGAAGTGCAGAATGAGAGAAGAGTGTTAATTCCGGATCAGGATCAAGAGCGTAACAAAAGATGGAGGGGAGAATGGGAAGAAGAGGAAGGTGAAGAGGAGAGGGAGTGGAACGTACCATATGTGTTAATTGTACCGTTGACTCTCGCACTTCATTCCCTATCCCAGTCGTAATCTGAAAGACACAATTCAATTCCCCAGTCACACATACACATCCTAACAAGAGAGAAAACTCACATCTTTCAACAGTTTAATCTTCGCATTCAGTCCATCAATCCTCTCATCATTCTGACTCTCCAACTCCTCCGCCGTCCTTTGCGATTGGTATCTCAGCGTCGTCGAGTTTCCATTCATCCCTAACCCAACCCTGTTCCCGGCATGGTGCCATTATAATACGTCGACGATGAATTTGACGACGCATAATGGCTATTGGTATTTTCGAGTGTACCGCTATACGGCGACGAACGACCCGAGTAAGGTGGTGTATTGGTCCCTTGGGTCGATCCTTGCGAGCGGTCTCGGTAGGACAGAGATGACGGTGCTTTGAATCTGAACACAAAAAATCGATGAGAAGTCAATGAGGATGGTTGACGTGGTGTCCACGGCATGCACAATTGCTATGTAATATCCCGCGTACCTGTTACTCATACTAAAATATCCCTTCATTTCTGTGGCGACGATGTGAGGAAGGCTGACAGGGACAACGAAGCCGAGGACGCACGTCGGGAGCAGAATGGGGAAGTAAAATGGAGGCAGTGCTACGGGGCAGATAACCGGCAGGTCCCGGCGAATGAATTTCTCCGTAATCTCAAGAGACTGAGCTCAGTGTGCAACGCGGCGTCGATTAAAGGTTAGACCCTTAGTGTGCAGGGGAGCACTATAGAAGCTGATCACCTGCTAGGTCCGGGTTCGGGGCATCTTCCCGCAGGGACCCACGTGCTATTCCTTACGATTATTGACGTGCCGCTCCGTTGTGAACCGCCACTTAGATTGTTGCACCAAGTGCATGCGGGCAGTACCCGAGCGATTTCCCTGTCCATGCTTTCGCACCAGTCGAACGATTCAGGAAATTCCAGCATTGTCGTTGGAGTTCACTACCGCGTCGGTAGAAAGATCGGGGAAGGAAGTTCCAGTGCAATTTTCGAGGGTATACTCCAGTTTTCCAATATTAGGTTTGCATAACACAAATAACCTTTTACTTCTTCCCAAGGCACGAATCTTATAAATTTGCAACCTGTCGCCATTAAATTTGTGCGCAAGACAGACGGCCCGGCGGGAGTGATTCGACGTGTGTTTGCCAAACAGGAAGCGTGGAAGTCCGACTCCGTGCCTCAACTTCGGGATGAATTCCGGTCTTATCGTATCCTGTCAGGCTGCGGTAAGAGAACCAGTTATAGAGATTTAACACGATCTGACCTTTGAGATCATAGTCGGCATCCCTCAAATTTACTACTTTGGTTACGAGGGTCCCGACAATATTCTTGTCGTCGATTTGCTAGGACCAAGTTTAGAAGATTTATTTGACTCGTGTGGACGGAAGTTTTCCATCAAGACCGTCGCAATGACGGCTAAACAGTTGCTAACTCGAATACAAACAATCCACGAAAAGAATCTTATTCATCGCGATATAAAGCCAGACCATCTCTTAATCGGACTGCCTGGAACAAAAGCCGTGGATATTATTCACCTTGTCAATTTCGGTTGGTCCCACAGCGCCCTTCCCAACCTCCAGGCTTGCTTATTCATGCATTCGGCCAGGATTGGCAAAGGTATACCGAAACCCCAAGACGGCACAACACATTCCTTACAGTGAGCAGAAGAGTCTGATTGGCGCCGCTTCCTATATGAGTATAAATACGCATCTGGGCCGAGGCGTGTCGATCTCTTCATGCTGTATCTTCGTACCTAACTATTTCCATCATCAGAGCAATCACGGCGAGATGACTTAGAGGCACTTGGCCATGTCTTTATGTCAGAGACCACCCTATCTTCAATGTCACCGCCTCTGATTGCCAATATATTAGGTACTTTCTCCGAGGTAGCTTGCCCTGGCAGGGACTGAAAGCAGAAAACAGACGCGTGAGAATTGGGGAGAAGAAGCAATCCACTCCCATCGATGAACTTTGCGTGGGGTACCCAGGTAGCATGGAGTCTATGATGATGTCTTGGTGTTCCTGTCTAACCATCAAATGCAGAAGAGTTCGCTGTTTATATGCTCTATGTGCGAAAACTGGAGTTTGATGAAACTCCTGATTACGATTTCCTGCGCCTACTTTTTACGAAGATTCTCAAGCATATCGGTGCAATCGAGGATGGCGTGTATGACTGGCATCTCCTGCATAGTGGAAAGGGACGGGAGGCTAATTCAGTGCGCCGAAGCCTTTTCTTACCTCCTACCTCGCTGATCATTGCATTTCAGTCTGGCACACATCTTCTTGCGCATGCCAATCAAACTAACGCTTCTCAAGGACCCCGGGTAGAGCCTCCGTCGGGTTCTGGGCCAGTGGTTTTCCAGGATCTTGGTTCCCGACCTGAAACTTTAAGTTTCAAGGTATAATTTGCAAATGCTCCATGACTCTAGTATCTCATCGTTTGAGCTAAGAACCCCACTGATGAGCAAGCAATCAACCCATTCCAATCTCGGTCTCAAATTCGTCCTAACACATTGGCAACATCCGTCCCCGCCCCATCACCACAACACCCACCCTGGTTGTCACAACTTCTTTTGGAACTTTCAGGAGTTGACAGCCGTAATCTCACCGGACAAATAAGTCAACGTGACGTTTTACAAGGCCAGGGCAGCTTTGGGAAGGTTTACCAAGGTGTTTACAATGGGGCAAGAGATCAGTTCCGTTTTTCCCTCGGATTCGTAAATTGATTGGGGTCCATTATATTACCAGGAAATTGTGTGTGTCAAGGTCCTGAAGGAAGTCCGCACTTCTGCGAACGAGGAGGTCGTAACAAAATTCTGTCGGGTTCGTCCTTTCATTTTCGCTCTTCCTACCACAAGGAGAGCTTATTATTTACTCCCCCAGAGGATGAAGCGTGAAGTGAAAGTCTGGACAACGTTACAACATCCAAACGTTGTCCCATTTCATGGGTGGGCACTTGAGTGCTCTTCAGAAACCAACACGACGTGTGCCAAACTTGTTTCGGCTTGGTGCGAGGGGGGAAATGTAACAGAGTACCTGAAGAAAACTCCAAATGCTGACCGTCGTCGACTGGGGAGTGTTGGATCATTTCTGCTAAACTCGAGTGACCATCTTACTCCTTCCTGGTAGGTTCTCAATGCCGCCCTGGGCCTACGGTATCTTCATGTTAAGGATGTAGTTCATGGCGATGTTAAGCCAGTACGAGCCTAAATCCCCATCTCGATTGCCATGAAGTTCATCGGGCAGGGAATTTCCTCAGGAAAACATTGTCGTCAATGGAAAAGGATTGCCATGCTATGTGATTTTGGGTTGTCGCACATTCTTCTCGATCTCTCCACGTACGCAGATGGATCGAGCGCTACTGGTACTACAAGATATACGGCCCCGGAGGTTCTTACTTATGAGGTGCAATGCCGCGATCGCAAAAGCGATATTTGGGCGTTTGGTTGTACATCTGGACAGGTGCGAGTGCTCAACGTTACTATGCAACGACTCACTACTGACCTCGGGGGGGTGCCTCTTGTTGCTTTCAGATACTTTTTGATCAAAAACCGTATCATGGATCAGAAACCCACCCTGCGATTCTGCGCGCGATAATGAATGGGCGCGCCCCGTTTGAATGGAACGATCCTGACGACTTTCTCGCCGGTGTCATTAGTTGCCTCGAACGAAATCGCAGTGAACGTCCAACCATTGAAGAACTGGTCCTGCGATTAATACCCGTACCCACCGCTGAATGATACCCTCATTGGAAACATTGTGGATCACTGCTGGATCTTCATCTGAATATTGCTCATGTAACTTCTGTGTATGTGTATGGAACATTGTACTTAGGCCGGTATATGTAGCTTCATTCTGTTCAAACTAACCGCGGCACCTAAGGCTCTACTGGGTAGCGCAAAACCCCCGTCGACGTCAGCCCTTGAGTGAACAACTTCACGGGTACGGTTTCTCTGGGTGCCGCTATAAGTATGTCGTATATGTGTTAAAGAACATATCCTATCGATTAGAAAGAAGCGGCGTCTATACATGGGATAACTCTCGGCTGCACGAGGGGTTCATCAAGATTGTCAAGTTGGTATGGTCGGGGTGATGGAGTCCTCTGGGTTGTAGCGTCGGGTTACCCTGGCCCATGTGGTTGCAGGATTGTAGGCAGATCAGCCTCTATTGGAACAGATTCATTCCACACAGCTTTTCGATGCTCTAGTGTCTTTCGCATCTCCACCAGTACTCTTGGACTCGCTGTTGTGTTTCCTATCCTGGGTTAAGACAAGCCTGTCGTATCAATGTCAAATTACACAGGCTACCACAGAGACTGGCTACGGGTTTGCAAGTGTCAGCGTTGAACCCCTCCGCCGGGGCTGTGCCGTCACACTGAATGGACGTGGTAGTAGAATCAACTCGTCTGCGTTGTTGCTGATCAAAATCATTCAGAAGCGATAGGGCACTTGTCTGTTGATCTTATCCCTCCCCGGCGGTTGTTAGTCGAGGTTGTTACACAATTTTGGCCCAACGCGGGGCGATGTGGTCACGCTTAAGGCCCAATCCAAGTCCATTCCAATAGAGGCTGGTCACCTACCTAGCCAATGCTCTGACCTCGCAGACCTCTTAGGGAAGGATTAACAGCCTCCTGAAGAACAAGCGGAGCGTGGCGAATAGATGATATCACGAGTGGGTAGAATCTTTCGCGTTTTCGACACCAGAAACACAGCATTCGACAATGAAGACTCGCAAGGTTACCCGGAGGAGGAAGAAGGGTACGCTCACATCCCCGAAAAATGCTGAGCGGCCTGAAGTTTTCAGGATAGATCAAAGAAACAAACTAGTAACCATCATCCGCTAGCTGGCCAGTGGCGAAGGCCGGACAGGTCAGTGCCGATCGTGACGTCATGAATCCGGGAAAGCTTTTCCAGGCCAGCGTCGATCCCCAAGCTACCTTGTGGCTTTCTCTAGGAGACTCTCTGTTCTGCCATGCCACTCATGCATCAATGAATCAATATGTGCGAGATTAACAGGGGAGGTTGGTCAACCTGAAAGAATTCATAGCCGATTCACGCATCCTTGCATGCGAATTGATGTCGGACGCGAAACAGCTCGAGAAGCGAATACATTGTCACACGGTGATCTTGAGTGATACAATCAGTCAGAGGGTCTTAAAGCTATCAATCCAAAGGAAAAGTTCATCACCCTTGTCCAACCACCTTGTTGGAGCGGCCCACACACTCACAGATTGAGGACAGGCACGCAGAAATATATTAACCAGGTTGGTACATGCACAAACACAGTCGGAGTGAACTTCGCGCCTCAACGAAGACGCTCCAAGATCGGCAATGCGTTGATGGCATGGACTATTACAAATGTTGCAAGTGGTCAAAGAAGGGCTTCGAGTTAAGCATAGGCGAGATTCCCCTCTTTAGATACATTTGTTGCGCTGCTGGAACGAGTGAACTTTTGCTGGCGGTTGGTTCCAGGCTCGCGCGCGCTCATGGGTTCCTCCTTGTGGGGAGTGAGCCAATTGCGCCATATGGGTTTTGGGTCTGGCCGCGAATGGGCGGAAAGTGTACATCATCCCGAGCAGCACAACCCAGTATCATTTAAGAGATCCGTGCTACGATAGTTAGATAGACAAGAATGGACTTACATGAAGGTGACGAGTTCGTGGTCTATTATAATCGACCACATGAGATGGCTGGGGGCATCCATCATGTGGAGGTGGCGGTAGCGGCAGTGGCAGCGGTGGTAGCGGCGTCGGCAGCGGTGGAAGCATGGGGACGGGATGTGGTGCTGCAGGCATCAGACATGAGTCTGGTTGCACCCGAGGCCATGGTAGGCGTGTGTGGGATACATGCTGCTCACGAATGCGGGGCAGCACTGCTACCCCTCTGGGAAGAGGTTTGGGCACCTCATAGTGGGTGGGCAGGCAGGGGTGGAAGGTGGTGAGTGGTGTGGGGAAGCCAACGTAACATCCCGATGGCCAACGGACGGGGCCCACCATTGGTTGGTAGTGAGCCTCGATAGCAGCCCTGACCTCCTCTCTTGAGGTCGCTGAATCTAGTCAAGATGAGGGGGAGAACCGTTAGTTTAGTGCTTGCTTAGGTTTCCCACATCGAACAGAAGTGTCACTCACCGCTGCGGGTATGTTGAACTCCCATAAAAGAGGGAAGGGCCCATGTTCCTGTACGAGCCTCTCTATGATTTTAGGGTCTCGGTTCATACAGTATTGCCTAAGCCTCCTCTGCCTTTTATTCTCCCCTGGTGTCAGTTGGTGCAGTGGGATCCATTTGAGCTCAAGCATCGTCAAAAGACCAGTGGAACGTAGCTACAGCCCGAAAAGCTCGAGAACACTTCTCAGTTGCTCACCTGGGGCGTTGGACGGAAGGAGCAATTACATAATGTTCGAGTTCGAAATGTAAACAAAAGGTCGGCTCCTTCCTTGCCAGGCTCTTAATTCGCAGTTTAGTTATATTGGGGTGTATGTGTCGATCCACTGACCTCCTTCCGGTCAATAATGTCCTCCGCATAACCGCTGAAGGTAGTACCCTTCATTTCTCTGCCACAGCACCTGATCTAATTCACATACTTCTCGAATGTCCCAAGCACGAACACCACCGAAACGTGCTCCCAGACGATGAAGGCAAACTGATCCTTGCTGACCTCCTGGTGGACGAGAAAGGAATAGAGAGGGTAGCAGGGTTTCTGTCAGCGAGTGGAGCATACGAGAAAGAGATAAGGACAGTATAGACACACTCCGAGATATGACACCGCTGGAAGGCGGAACCCATCCCATTTTCGAAACTGACACCTAAAAACGGTCAACCCAACACGACAACTCAAAAGTGGAGCAGCATTTGGGCAACGCCTTATCAGAGAGATTAAGGACACCCGAATCGGACTTATTTCTTTATTTTCTCACCTTATTTTTGTGTATTTATCTCGACCCCTGCCCTTGGCGCTCTCACGAGCAGCCTACAGTTTGCAGGTTAAATATCCAGAATAAACAACAACAACAACCTGATCTAATTCAAGACCGACGCCACAACACCTTGTCATAGCCCCTTTTGTCACACCCCAAATGCTTCTACGACGCGGAAGTGCCACTTGCTGCATGTCTTTCACTCACTGATCTACCTCCGACATGTCCATTGGCGTGGTAATATGACTATCCTGGAAGGTGGAGACATGGAGTTCCTCTGTCATCCTACACTTGTAAGAGGCATATGACGAACATGCCAGGATGGAAATATAGCTGTGGGTGACGTTTCTCCACTTGGTGTCCGTTGCCTGGAGGATTGGAATGAAGAAAGAAACCCTCGAGTCCGAGCTCAACTTGAACTGCACTATGACTTGGTTGTCCAGCAGGACCAGATGCTGAAGCCACGATCCCCGATACAGAGTCCACAGGCTCCCAGATTCATTGGAATTGACTGTTGCTACTCACATGCTCTACCAGTGATTGACAGTCTAGTGCACGACTCGAACGCATCAAGATTAGTCTTATCACTGCACAATGAACACACCGACCTAGAAAGTCTTAGCTGGGAGAGTCTAATCTAGATCTTCGGCTCGCGTCAGATGCTGTGTCACCCGGCGGGCCCCCCACTCCGGAATCCACGACGATGGGGAATCTTCTTGACTGTTGCTAGCCGGAATGTCTATGACTGTAGCCATCATTTTTTATTACATAATTACTGGTCCAACTCTTGGACTCCGACCCTCACATCCGCCAGTGGTCACTTTTTCACCGATGGCGTCGGTTTATACCGCGTCTGCGGTACGGAACTTTGCCTAGTGATCTGCGTATTAATGTGAAATTAACACCCACATTAGCGGTTAACTTTCATTCTGATAGTTGGCACTCTCGCGTTGTACATTTCTGCTTCCATGAACAGTCCCAGATTCTTCTTTTTGGAGAAGATCAGAGCGACTGGCTACCAAGGCGAAAAGGCTGGAGAATTTTGTCTGATTTGGCTGACTTCATGGTGCACAGTGAGCTGTACTCATGCGCCGGATGTAATGTGAATAGAACCTAAACCCCTCCTGGGTACAGAAAGCTTAAGCCTACTTAGACACGCTCTTCCACTGTCTAAGCTTGAAAAGTTATGCTTATTGCCAATCGTTGGGATGCATAGATTGTTCCGGTGTGCTAAACCAACAAGGGCACGTTCGAATCGTTCTGTTCCAAGCACCTCGCAATGTGCATGTCACAATTGTATAAGCTCCTACGGATATTCTCATTCTGAGCACTGTGAGGATGTGGTGGGACACATGCTTGACCCCCCCCCCCCTTCGAAATTGTGTGTACACGCTAGGTTCGATTCAGATCGGGTGTCGCATTGCGGATACACAGCTGCTTCAAATGAGAAAGCAGCCCGAGGCGGCCATCCAAGCCACGGTATACAGTTACAAGGTGGCGCATGGGCCAGAGCAGCGATACGAAAACGAAGTAGAGAGGCGTGAGGATCACCAGACGATACAACGGTATATCGTACCATGGCCCTGTGTGCACGGTTAAACCTTTAGGCAGCAGATTGCTCCCTTTGGAGGGAGAACGTGGTGTGGAGCGGAGAGCGTTTGTTGTGATAGAACCTGATGGAGAGTGTTTAAATCCAAGTTGAGAAGGTAAATGAGAAGTTCATTGTAAAGACGTCCGTTTCTCATTTCTGGCATGGTGGTTACAAAGGCGTAGCCCGTAAAGTCGGTATGGTGTGTCAAACATGAGGAACAGGGCAACAACAACGAAGAAAAGAGGGAGCGGCCGGGTTAGGTTGGTGCGTTTTTAAATGATTTCTTGAATGTAGAGACGCAAGCCATGAGGTTTGTGACACGAAACAGGACCGACAGGAGAACAAATCACTGGGTCGCTATCGAAGTGCAACCTTGTGGCTGCTAGCCAGCCGAGTATAAACTCCACCCAGAGCTCGTCTTCTTCTGGAGACTCCGGGGTGGTTTCTTCCGAAGGGTCCTCCTTCAGTGGGTCTCCCTCCGAGGTTTTTTTCTTGGGGGTGTTGTCTTCTGAGTGACTTTCCTTAAGGGAATCCCTCTTTGGTGTCATCACCAAAGAGTTGGTAGTTCTTTTTTTGGTCTGGCTTATCGCCAGTTTTAGTGTATTTTTTTCATCATTGTTTTCAATGACGTCGGATCTTGGGGCCATTATTGTGGTCCCAACGCTGATGTCCTCGCCCTTTCTTCTGGGCGAGTAGTGAGGTCCCTTGTTTGGGTCCTCTGGTTCAAAGTCATTGGAGGTGTCCTCCACTTCGAAATCACCAGAGATATTCTCCGGTTCCTCTTCATCGGAGTCATCTCCAACTTCACCTTCTGTTTTGTAGTCGACTTCCCTGGTGATCCTGTGCCTTGGGTTTCTGTCTCCTACTAACTGGTGCTCAGGGTGGCTCTTTGCCCGCTCTGGTATTCCGCAATTATTGCGTACTTGTACTGGCCTTTGGTCAGTGTTCCCTGACTGCTTCAGGGAGGATTCGCCTTTCCATTTGGGTTTAGGGTCTTGCACATTGGCTCTTGCCTCTGCATGTTTCTCCTTTCCCGCCTGGTTGGGCTTTTCACAATTTGTGGTTGCGGTGGTTTTAGGTCTGGCATAGCATTCTGGCCTGTAGGCTGGAGCTATCCTCAGCCTGTTTTTCATCTCATCCATGCGAGATGTTGTTCTGAACATCTCCTCGAAAGAGGAGAATCCCATTTTGATTATTTCCTCCTTGCATTCAGGGAGGATGTTTTCCAGAAACCTAGCATTAAGCGATGGTTCTGGGTAGGACTGTCTGGGTCCTTTTCCTGCATTGTACTTTACATTGCAGTATTTTTCCGTCACCTTCAATGTGGTGGGCTCCTTGATATATGTCCTCATTAGAGTATCGAGAACTTCAAGAAATTTCCCCCCTTTATCTCTAAGGAGGGCTTCTTCACGGAGTTTTAGTCCGTGTGAGAGTGCAGGCTCTGCCAATCCACCAATGAGACAATCCAGATGGATTTCATCATAGTGTGCACCTCTATATCCTCGTGATGTGAGGAATCCTAGCAGTGTGGTGTACCACAGCCAGAAAATTTCTGTATCGTTTTCGCCTGACCACTTCGTGTCAGGGAGTCGAGTAGGACCGTTATTTGACCAGTCCCACTTCACCCTGTCTATGTGCAGGGTGAAAGTTAGAAGTTCGGCCATCCATGTGGCCTTGTGGTACAGTGCCCCAAAAAACCGTTGCAATGTTTTGCACCTTTGACTTCAAGAGCTTATTAAGCAATGGGAAAGGGTTCTAAAATTTCAAATAAATATGTGAAACATGTGTTAGTATCTTGTCCATAACTCTACCAATTACATAAGCAATATGTCCATTTTTGGTAAAGTTATCCAATTCACAAGGGACCCATGTCATTGCAACGGTTTTTTTGGTGTGCTGCCAGAATGGACTAAAACTGGAAATATCATCTGATAGGTCATGTGATATTGTTTAGAATACACACTAGTAAACAAATAAACATTTCTGGAGCATAAATACACATGGATTTTAAGCTGTAATCCCCAATTCTAGAATGTGTCAATTGGCTGCTTTGAAAATTGAACAAGTGCTTTCTCTCATTGTTTCTGGCCACAGTGCTCACCAGATCTCATCAATTACTGCTGTCCACCATTCCACTGTTACCCATATTTGGTCTAAACATTGTCCTGACACTCCTAAGCCCAGTGGTGGTTGCCCATCTAAACTGTCAGACACCAATATCCATCATGCAATGCATCTTATCAACTCTGGTAAAGCCAACAATGCTGCACCAGTCACCCAAATTCTCCAAAAAGTCACCAGCACCAGCCTCTCAACTGAGGCTGTTCGTCTGCAACTAAAGGAGGCTGGTTGGAAAGCAGTGGTGAAGAAGAAGCAGCCCATGCTCAGCAGATATCATAAGATGGAGAGAATGGACTTTGCAATCAGCCACAAAGAGTGGACTCCAGAGGATTGGAAGAGAGTGGTGTGGTCTGGTGAGACTAAGGTGAATTGCTGGGGCTCAGATGGGAGGAAATGGGTGTGGAAATGGGGGGATAAACCTCTTACAGACAGGCTGGTGCAAGGCACAAAAAAGTTTGGTGGTGGTTTTGTCATGGTTTGAGGATGTATGACATCAGATGGAGTTGGAATGGCATGCAAGATTGATGGGAAGATGGATGCAGAGCTCTACTGCCAAATCCTGGAAGAGGACTTCCAGCAAACCCCCTCATATTATGACAAAAACCCAGCCCACATCCTCTTCCAACAGGACAATGACCCAAAACACACCAGCAAAAGGGCCCAGAACTGGTTCAATAACCATGGTATCAGGGTCATGGAGTGGCCCTCTCAGTCCCCAGACCTTAATCCAATCAAACATTCATGGGACCATGTAAAGAGGAAGCTTGGGGAGTATGAAGAACCTCCAAGTAGTGTTCATGAGCTGTGGGATCAGTTTCAGGAGGAGTGGGAGAGGATAGGACCAAGTGTCTGCCAGGATTTAATCGAGAGTATGCCTAGGAGGATTGAGGCACTACTTAGGGAAAAAGGTAGTTATACTAAATACTAGTTAATGTGATTTTCCTTTCTCCAAAATGCACACCAAAAAACCGTTGCAATGACATGGGTCCTTTGTAAAGTGAATAACTTTACCGAAAATGGACACATTTATTAGAGAATTGGTGGAGCTATTAATGAGCTACTAGCGCATTATTTTTATATTTTTATGCAATTTTAGGATCCCTTCCCAGGGTGCAATAAGCTTGTGAAGTGAAAAGTGCAAAACATTGCAACGGTTTTTTGGGGCACTGTACCATCTTTCGAGGTGCCAGTTGTCCTCCAGCAATGTTTTGCTGGAAGTTTTCCTTGTGAAGTTTTCACGAGGGTTTGTTTGGTTCTCTCCAGCATTACTGGAGGGGTTTTGCGGCAGGTTACTTCCACTTATCCTTTGCCTGGGTGAAGTGACCGAGGAGGGCCATTTATCGCCTAAGATGGGGCCTGGTGTTGATGGTTGCCCACTCATTTGTGGGTTCTCCTTACTAGGCTCCTTGTTCGGCCACGTTGCACTCCTACAGACTTCAGTGACCTCATCCAAAGTTGGTGACTTCGCTTTTTTTGGCAAAAGTTTTGGGTTCGGCCTTGGCAGCAGTGGCTTCCCCTGAGCCTCTGTGCTCTCTGAGCATCTGCCCTTGACCTTTTCTCCTATTATTTCTCAGGCCTTTAGCCTGAGAAGGAGCTCTTCATCACTTCCTGTCCTCCATTCGGATGGGACCTGGAAGAAGTCCAGAAGTATCTCGGACAATCGACTTCAGGGAGCTTCCCCATCCTCCTGCACCTGGTCCCTTTGCTGTGTCCATGCTGGGTCCGAGGCCATCTGAGGACAGTCCGGAAGTGAGCTCAACCTGTGAGTCTGTGTCGATCTGGATGACATGGCCTTTATATCCATGTTGGAGTGTGTACACTGGTTCTCAGACAGAGCGCTGAGTGTCTCACAGTGGTTGTGAGATGGTGTCGGTGGTGTGGAAGTTTTTTCCACATTTCCTCCACTCAGGACTGGCTCCCTGCACAAGCGGGGGTCGTCCCATGAGGGTTTTTGATGATTCCCAGTCTTATAGACTGGGGTTTGAACCGGCTCACGCCTAGGCGGCGAGCTGGATGTCTCACTATAGTTGCAAGACGGTAACGACGATGTGGAGGTTTTTTCCACATTTTTTGCAATCAAAGACGGCTCCCTGTGCAAGCAGGAGTTGTTGTTCGATTGTTTTGCACAATTCCCAGTCACATAGACCGGGGAGTGAACCAGCTTGCTGCTATATCGCAAGCTGGGCGTCTCGTGGCTGACGCGAGACGATTCCATAGATGTGGACGATTTTTCCACATTTTTTGGAACTCCAAACGGCTCCCTGCGCCAGCAGGAATGGTCATTTGGTTGTTTATGACAACTCCCAGTCGCATAGACTAGGGAGTGAACCAGATTGCTGCTATATTGCAATCTGGACGTCTTGCGTTTAATGCGAGACGATGCTGGACATGTGAAAGATTTTTCCACATTTTTTGGGATCAAAAACGGCTCCCTGTGCCAGTGGGAGTGATCGTTTGATGGTTTTGTGTAACTCCCAGTCAAATAGACTTGGGAGTGAACCGGCTTGCTGCAATCTTGCAAGCTGGATGTCATGCAGGTGACTTGAGACGATGTGGACAATTTTTCCACATTGCTTGGGGCCACAAACGGCCCCCTGCGCCAGCAGGAGTTACTGCTGTTGTTGTCAGTGTCTTGCACCAAGTGGGAGGTTCCCTGAGGATAGTGGGGCTCAGGGACTTCTTTTGGCGTGTCTGACCCAGCCCTTAAGGCTGTTAGTGTGGCAGCCACGCACTTATGTGTGCGCATGTTTGCCTCCTCACCCAGTGGTGAGAACTCTCTCTTTCTAGGAGAGATCATGTTGGCACATGGGGTTCTAAGGGTATTGTTCCCCGCATTTACCCCATGTAAGTTTTTGGGATCCTCAGGGTTTGTCCCTGAGGTCCTACCAATATGTGGCAGGTCTTCGTCATCATCCGATGACACAGTGTTTAGGTTATCTCCCAAATTGGGAGATCGCGGCTTTTTAACAAAGCCACCCTTTGTTCTTGCTGCAGATGCAAGCTTCCCTGTTTGGGGGTATGACGGTGCCATGTCAGGCACCATCCCCAGAACAGATGTAAAAAGGATGTGTAGATTAGTTTTAATCACACCTCATGCACTTAAAAAAGTGTGAGGTCTGTGGGGCTCACTCAGGCCACCAGGCCGTAAGTGTCACAAAGGTGTGGGTATTACGGGGTGATAAGTGATAGGTTTCAACCCATCGCCTGTCATGTGACACTAATCGACAATGGGACTACATGTAATGGGGGCCCAGGGCTTGTGCCCTGACAGTCGAGGTGTGGATGCGGTTATTATGGGAGAACTCCGCCAGTGGGAGCCAGTCCGCCCAGTCATCCTGGCAGTGGTTAACGAACACTTGGAGGTAGGCTTCTATCTCCTGGTTCACTCGCTCCGTCTGTCCGTCCATCTGTGGGTGGTAAGGCACCGAAGGGGTCAGCTTGACCGCTAGCAGGGCCGCTAGCTCTTTGGAGAACTGAGAGACAAAGGCACTCCCTCTGTCACTGAGAATCTCCTCAGGGAGCCCATGATGCTTCCAGACATGTTCGAGGAAGAGTCAGGTGATCCCGGCCGAGTCTACTGCCATGACTGTAGGGATTGCATGGATGCGCTTAGAGAGGCGGTCCACCACCACTAGGATGGCATTGTAGCCCTTAGACTCAGGGAGCTCTCCAATCATATCCACAGAGATTACCTGCCAGCAGCAGGTGGGGATCTTGTTTGGCATGAGCTTCCCCACCTTCCACAAGGGGAATGACTTGACTTGATTGCAGGCGTTGCACCCTGCCACGTAACAGCCTACATACTCCGCCATCCGGGGCCACCAGTAATCGCAGGAGATGAGCTCCAGGGTTTTCCATCCCCCTGGGTGTCCTGTTGCCTGCACGTTGTGGTGTAGCTGCACCAGGTTGTGGCGGAGTTGCGGGTCCTTCGGGACATATACCTTTCCCTGGTAGAGGACCAACTCTCCATCTCTGTTCCATTCATCCATCCTGAGGGTTCCATCTCCCAGCTCCTTCAGTGCTTTCACTACCTTCTCATCACGGTCTTTCACCGTGTGTATTCTTTCCAGGATGGCCACCTCTTCTCCCTCCACTGTGATGGCCTCAGTCACACGGGCTTCAAACCATTCTGGCTGTAGGAGGGTCAGGCTGTCGTTGTCATCCCTTCCCTTTGGGTGGTCGGTGTGGCAAGAGAGGGTGTCCGGCTTCCCCATGAGTTTCCCTGGTCGGTGGATGAGGGTGAAGTGGAAGCGGGACAGGAACAGTGACCACCACACTTGGCGGCAATTCAGCCTCTGTGTGGTGCGGAAGTAGCCTAGGTTGCGGTGGTCCATGTAGATATTGACCTTCTCCTCAGCCCCTTCTACGAAATGATGCCACTCTTCTAGTGCTCGGACTATCACGAGCATTTCTTTGTCGTAGATTTCATAGTTGTGTTCTACTTCGGTGAAGCTCTTGGACATGAAGGCAATAGGGTGGAACTTGCGTCGGTTTGGAGCTGGGACAGAATGGTGCCAGTGGCAAAGTTGGAGGCGTTGCATTCGAGTTTGTAGTGGCTGGAGTCAGCAGGAAAAGCAAGGATGAGGGTGGAGGTAACGGCGACCTTGAGGGTGCTGAAGGTGTGCTCTTCATTCTCCCCCCATGTCCAGGCCTTTGCTTTGCAGGTCAGGGCATGGAGTGGCTGTGCCGTCTTGGAGAAGTCCTTGATGAAGTGACAGTAAAAGTTTACAAAGCCCAGGAAGGATTGTACCTCCTTCACCTTTGTTGGTGTCAGCCAGTCAAGGACCCCTTGGACCTTCACTGGGTCCATGGCGACGCTACCCTCAGAGATGACAAGTCCAAGGTATTCGATGCGGCACTGCTCAAACTTGCACTTTTCCGGTTTGAGGAAGAGCTTCCTCCTTTGCAGCGTTTCCAGCACTTCCCGCACAACCTTCTGATGCTCCTCTAGGGTGGATGTGAAGATCAGGATGTCGTCCATGTAGCAGATAACAACCTCTTGGTCGGTGAAGTCCCGGAGGGTGTCGTTCATCATGGTTTGGAAGGTTGCTGGGGAGTTGCATAGCCCAAAGAACATCACTGTGGGTTCAAACAGGCCCTGGTTGGTTGCAAACGCCGCTTTCCACTCGTCACCATCTTTGATCCGTACGTTGTTGAACCCCCAGCACAGATCTAGCACTGAGAAGTACTTTGCATTGCGAAGGCGCATGAGGATGTCAGAAATAAGTGGGAGGGGGTACGAGTTCTTGACCATTATCTCGTTGAGCTTTCGGTAATCCTGGACCAGGTGCAGGGACCCATCCTTCTTCTTGACGAAGAATATGGGGGCGCCCATTGGTGACTTCGATGGGCATATGTGCCCATTCCGCAGGTTCTTGCATAGGAACTCATCCAGCTCTTTCTGTTCCAGTTGGGATAGGGGAAAGGTCTTGCCTCTAGGGAGCTTGGCATCTGGGGTTAGGTCAATAGCATGGTCCCAAGGCTTCCTTCGAGAATACATCCCGGAAGTCTCTGTAGTGCTCGGGCACCAGCTCTTCCATCGTCAGCAGTTTTGCCTCCGCATCTTGGGCTTCTTCCGCTAGGTGTTGGGATGGTATGGTCGTCGCCCTTAGGTCGTGCCCCCACTCTGGCGGGATTATGGCGGTGTAGATCCCGTCCCCAGGCTCCACTTCAGGTGTTATGGATATGGAGTCTCCAATGACCATATCTGTCACATAGTCAAAGACTTCTCCTCTCTATCGCTCCCCCTCTCTCTCCCTTTTGCCATCTATCCTGATACCCTACCCTCCTTACTCGTTCTACCCCTTTCCCCCCCTCGTGCAAAGCTTTTCCCATTGGGGTTTTGGTGCTGGCCAAGGTTACTTGTGTTTCACAGGATTTCCCATGTCCCTTCCATTTGTAGATAGTCACACGTCTTGTACGGAAACCGCCAAAGGCAGTTCCCACTAACTAACTACTACTCTCCACAACTGTCTTGTGTGTCATCTTCTGTAACAACCCTTTCCTGTGACTCAACTGAACCTGGTGACTGTACAACTCACAACATGTCTTATAAGTCTGGTTATGTTGAGTCCTCTAGCAGTCCTCGCCATGAGAACTCGAGGTCACGAGTCAAAGACTCTCGACATGTATATCATCCTATGGAATCTGTACCCTATGGGACTTCATCACTCAGCTCTCCCCCCAGTGCTCAACGGACAACATCATATCACAATCTTGGAGATTGTGAATACTCTGAGGTCCACATTCCTGTGATGCCAGCATGTTCGCTATGGGAGTGCCAAGTAGCCATCCATCCATCATCTGTTCCCTCCCTCGTCAGTCATCATATTCCCCTGCCAACGGTACATTCCCTTTGGGAATGCCAAGTCACCGAAGGCCCTGCTAGTCAATCCTCATTGCACGCTCATGATATCAACCCACTACCAGTATGTTTGCGCTGCGAACGCCAAGTAACTGATGGCAGTTATACAAAGTTCTCACCCACCTCACGAGTCACGACCGTGCACACAGCACGCTCCATCGAGGAGCGCCAAGTACCCATGGCTGACCTGTCCATCCTGACATCTCCGACTACCTACCATCAATTCCTTAATAGCTCACTACATCACCAACCATGATCGATGGGAATTCGATTGTCCACTCCCATGCAAGACTGGGATCACTCATCGATTACATATCCCGTTATGGTACAGACTAGATACAACGTTTGTCATCCCACTATAAGAACAGATCAAGGAATGGGGATTTCCTCCCATCCCCATAACATTGGTGCCCCAACCCCGGTGCGAGAAACTCGCACCATGCCATCAAAGACGGTGTCCCTGTTGGGAGACGAACCAGTCACCCCAGTCCAAGTGACACACAAATTGTATCCTCCTTCCTGCCCCACGAGGATCAGTCAGTCGGATCATAGATCCAACTCAAGAGATACCTCGCCAGTAGGTGAAGATGTGCATTCCTCGCCTGGCGCAGTCCTAAGACAGCAAGCTCTCAGGCAAGTCATCGAAGCTCTTGGAGAGTTTAAAGGTGGAATTTTTGAGGATTCGAATAACTACATGAAACGTATACGAAATTGGTGTCGTCTCGCTCCCACTGATCTCGAGAACGAGCCTGTTGGAGCCAGTCTTGAAGGAGAGCCTTTGAGATATCGACTAGGGACTGTCTGGCAGGTCAAGCTAACTGACCTGCTCATGAAAATTACCGAGTTCACCCAGCTAGCCACCAAGGCCAACTTAGCTGCAGGTGATTTTGTAGTGGATCCCCAAGGTGACCTCACCCTGATATTCACCATAAGAGGATGGTCGTCACCCAAGGAGTTCAGCATTGCATGGAACTTCCTAGACCAGCGTTTCAACTCCTTCGAAAAACATTTCGACGCCATCAAGAAAGTTGCTTGTCCTTCACGGGAATTTGACAAGTCGTGCATGAGTGGACTCAGGTTGGCGAATGTCTTGCCCGCCAAGTTTACGGATCCTGGGCAAGTCAAGGAGGCGTGGTGTACCGAAATGCGACCCACTTGTCAACCTGAAGCCCTCCTGTCAGGATGGACCACATTTGAGGATCTCATATCTCCTGCTGAAGAGACCACTTTCGTTTGTAAATGCACTCAACCGTCCAGGGCCTTCCCAGTGCCTAGACCTAGTATTAATGTCGCAGCAGGGATGCTACCCAGAGACGAACCCTCAATGCCGTTTGTCACAATTCGTGGAGAGACCAACGCTTTCGAGAACCCCAAGGAGAACGTGGGTTACACGGAATTTGTGAGAGGCTTGAAGGTCGGAAGGAAGAAAGAGCTGGGACCTGTCGAGGAGAGACTCGATCCTGACATTTGTGGACCCGAACCCCCTCGTGTTCCTCACCATCCGGTGAACGAAGGACCCATTGGATCCAGAGATCCAGATCACGATCCAAGACAACCACCTCTCGACCCCTGGCAGCCGCCACCGTGAGGTGCAGGTCCACCACCCCCATCAGGACCACCTCCTCTGCCCAGTGGGGCTCCATACCCGGGGCACATTCTACCTGTCA